CAGTGGTCCGGCCTCCATCGAACCCGGGACGGGCCCTTTTAGGCGATTTTAGCCTTTTTCTTTTTACCCCGGTTCGGTGGGACGTCTGGCTGAAAGAGGAGTAATTGGTAAGTGCGCACGGCGGATTTTCCTTTCTTTCCGCCATCTGTCTGTTTCTGTCTGGGTATCTGCAGATCTGTGTTGGAAAGAACAGCTTGGCTGGACGCAGCATTACAAGCTACTATTCTGGTCGTGGGTACAAGACGTTGGCCCCAACTGCGGTCGGTCTGTCCCGGCATTGGCTGCTTGCCAGTACCGGTAACTGGCCGAATCTGTTCTGGGTGTGTGTGTGATTGCCGGCTTTTTGTTCTTTGTAAAAAGTGTCTCCTGTCTCGTTTTTCTTTCCTCTATACTTGTTCCCTGTAAAGATTTTTCCCCATATCAGGACGATGGGTCAACGCCAATCCCTTCTGCTTACCCCTCTGCAATGCCTCTTCTTTGATTTTTTCCAAAAGGGCTTCCGGATTCAGAGTGCCTGCGAATTCAGGCACACTGCGAGTTAAAATGGCCACCGGGAGAGCTCGTTCGAACTTCCCCTTTTGCAGGGAGTTCGATCTGGGCTTACTACCTCTGCAGCAAATTGCAGGGTGGTGTGAATTACAGGGGGCGGCACTTGCGGGGTTCCCGCGGAAGCAAGCGCTTGGTATTTTTTTAAAACAGCATGGTCAGACCTAACTAAATTGGCCCTAGAGGGCTCACTTGATTGAAATTGGCTACACCTTTTGCAAAAGCATTTGGCGAAAATACAATCTAAAGAGATGGAATAAGTTTTGCTTTGGTCCAAGCTGGTGGAAAGAAAAGGGAAAAAGAAAAGCTAGCTTAATATAGTATTGGTGCACCAGGAAAGATCTACACGTGTGAGCATATGTTTGCACTGGGTTTTTGTGCAAAGTTTTATGTTTGTGGAAGTCTTGTGTTCATTGTTGCTGTCTGTTTGTATTTTAAAGTGTTCCCCTTTCTGGGAGGTTAAGCATAGCTCAGAGCGGGATTTTGCGGGTTCCTCAGAAAATAGAAACTCCCCCATGCAGCCGCACCAATCTTGTCCTCTTCAGGGCATGGTTGAAAGCAAGGGCGTGGATGGGTGTTCTTGCCCCTGAGATGAGAATGTGTGAACCTGGCTTTGTTTGAGATACAGATGCATGAGGTCATGGGCCTGAGCCCAAGCATGGCTGAGTCCGGCTGGGAGAAAGGCGATGATCAGGGAAATGTGTGTGTGAGATTTTTCCTTCCCCCATTCCTTCTATATGAGCCAGAACTGGGAAGTAAGGAAATGTGTGACCCTTAAAGTTGGGCTAACTCAGGTCCTACCCAGTCTTCTGGACATCTTCAATAAGCTTATCCTGTGTGAAAGCCCTGTATGAAAGCAGGGGTTATATAGAAACATTTTTATGCAGGTCCTTTCCTTGTCAGAAACCGGGAACACTGTTTAATGTCTTGTTGTTTTTCCAGCCTCTTCCATCTGCCTTGCAGCCCTCCTAGGTAGGAAAAAATCCTTGTTGGATTAAGTAATGGCATTTGAAATTCCAGGAGGGGATGCTGATGGGCAGATGAAAGATGGAAAAAATGCTTTCTTTGCAAGTTCCTGGGGGGTAGTTTATGGTTCTGGGATCGTTTTGGATTGTACTTTGGATCGAGAGGTGAAACTGCATCTGGAGGCTAAATGGCTTTAGGGAATCTATTCCTCGTCAGATATTGCTGGAGTATGTTTGTGAGGGAAGGCATGGGAAGGAAGGAAGGTTTGTTCAGGAGGAAACAGTGCAACAGGAAAGCACTGTGGTGTGGTTGTGATTTCATGGGGTCTTGGATTGGAATTTTGTACAAGTAGAAGGTAAAAGGCAAGTGAGCAAATGGATTGTGGAAATGAAAGAAAAAAAATGAGGCAAAGATGCAGAAAGGAAGGGTTTTCTTTTATGTGTTGAGGAGGTTTCTGGAAAGTAGTGGAACTTGGTTGGTTTTTTCTCTCCCCCTGTTGAACTTGCAACTGTTTGGAATGTGAGGCTTGAGTGAAAAGCAAAAAGATTTTATTTTTCTGAATGTTGTGTGTATGCCATGTGAGAATGAGTATGTATTGGACAGGAATTCCGTAATTCAAGGGGTGCAAGGTGCTTGGTATGTGAGAGAATTTTACGAATTTTGGTAAATGGTGATTTGGTACTTTTTCTACTGAAAAAAAATATGGGAAGGAATGTGTACCTTTTGAAGCAAAGACAAGAAAACAAAGAGGAATAGTCTACCTTGCTAAGAGCACTCCCATTATTTAAAGAGACAGTAACTGCAGCCTCTTCTCTGGATTTGGTCTGGCCAACTGAATTTAGGAGGAGTTTGTGCTGGAAAATTTGGGTTTCTTGACTCTGTGGGCTTGGCTAGCCCACAGAGCCAAGAAAAAGGGGGGATGCTCTGGCAGGAAGATACCACCACTTTGTGAGTACTGCAGAAGCAGCACACAAAGCCTCTGAGCATGTGCAAAGTTCAAAGTACTTTGGGAAGTTTGAGCAGCTCTGCTTCCAGCCACAGATTGGAGGCGGGGTTTGCACTAGTTCTCAAAAGAAAGTCTGAGTCTCTAGAAAGCTTTCAAAGGAAACCTTGGTGTCTTAAAAATAAATAAAAGCTGTGTAACTGAGGTAAGGCATTTGAGGTCCTTTGAGTGCAAAAAGCTTGTATTGCCTCAGGAAAAATTCTGCCTGGGAAGGGTTGGGTTAAAGACCCTTAAGCACTCTCTCTCAATGAGTCACTAGGAATTTTTTAGGAAGGGAATCCTTCCAAAAAGCAATGTTGTAAGCATGTGATTTGTGTCAGCCATCAAGAGTTTTCCTTCTCCAATAACTTCTATTTTTCTATGTAACATGGATCTGGATCTTATATGTGTGTGTGAGGGTTTAAGTTCTGAATTCTGAGTATACCATTTTGCTATTGCTATGCTACAACTGAAGACTTGGGAGGGAATGAATGGATGAAACTCTGGGGCTGTGTGTGTGTGCGCGTGCGTGCAAGTGCATGCAATGGGAAGAGTCTCCTTTTAAATCTATGAGGCTACTTCTTCCCTTTTGGTGTTCAACAGAAAAGTTTTGTTTTGCAATGTTGCCAAATATCAATGATAGTGATGTTGCTGTTGCTGTCACTGGTATTGATGGTGCTACAGAGGTTTTCTTACAGTAGCCTAATGTTTGTTGGGGACTGAACCCATTTGCCAGCCCAAGGATGTGGGCAGCTAGAATGGCAAGTTCTCAGAACTCTTTCCATAAACATAAGCCGTCTCTCAAACTACCAGGGTCCAGAGTTGAGGGCTACTCACTCTGGAAACAGATGTACCTTCCCCAGTTAAAATGTTGTCTCCCCTTATGCTTTCCTTTTTTTTCCAAGTGGTGTAGAGCATGCAATCAGCTTTGAATGCTTATAGTTAATTTGTATTGTTTGTGTTCCCTCTGAAAGCAAAACTATCATTCTCTTAAGATCCTTCCATGAGATAATTGTTCCCTGATGACTTTGACAAAACATCAGGTTTTTCTCCTTGGCTGAACTACGGTCCTGTTTGCCCCAAAGTGCCCTGTGATCTCCCAGAGAAAGACAGGGGGCTGTCCTGAACAGGCAGGAGTAGCAAAGGTTTCCTCTTCTCTGCATCCCAGGTTGCTATTGCCCGTGGGAAATTTGCCTCCGGAAGAAAATGAGCAGGTTGCATGTGGGGGTGCGGCAGACTCCTCATGCACACTGATATGTCCTCACCTGTGGAATTCCCTTTCAAGGGAGGTGCGCCTGGCACCCGCTTGATCTTGCTTTCAGCCACGTTAAGACTCTTATTCAGCATCTGTTTTAAGATTGGATTATTGGTTTGCTGCTGGTTTATTGTTTTCTTGGTTGTCATTATTGGTTATATGGTGGATCAAGAAATGGTCTGACTCTACACCTAGGGATTTGCTCAAGAGCTGTGGCTTACTTTTCCCTTGAGGGATGAATTGGCTCCATTTTAATGTAGAGCAAAAAGCTACAAGTTTGGATGGGGTTTCCACTCAGGGCCTTCAGGGCCTTGCTGCGGCTGCAAGTGCAGAGTCTCACTTTTCCCCACACACATCCCTGTGGAAGTGGCTGCTAAGAAGAGACGGAAAGGTGGGGGAGCAACGTGGCAAGCCTTGGGTTCTATCTGTCCTGCAAACGTGTCCCCTGAAGCTCCTAAGCTAACAGCGTATGCTGTTTCCCGCAACATGTGTGCATTAGATACTGCCTATTCTTGTGAAGGTGAGATTGTACCTCTGCTGTTACCATTTGTAAAAATGTGTGTGAATAGCATAAAAAATGCCAGCAGTCTGAATTTGAAGCCTCCCATAACTTCAGGTTTGTTTGTGCTAACAATGGGTTGGTGCATTTTGCATCTGTGTGGGAGAGTATCATCCCTGAGAAAGCTGATAGGTATCTCTATTATGTCAGGATCCTGGGGAGTCAGGTACAACAGAAAGGTTATCAGATCTGCAGATGACACAAAATTGGGTGGAATACCTAATATCCTGGAAGGCAGAAACAAAACTCCAAGTGATCTTGATAGGACTGACATCAACAGAACAAAATTTGTCACCAAGTTCTGCACTGAAGAACTAAGATGGGAGACACATCTTGATGACTGTGTCCATTTATGGGCACCACATATTTAAGAAAGATGCACTTGGACCTGTTACCGCAAGCTGCTTTGCGGGCTGTGGCGTGTGATGGTTTATTTGACGGGCGTGATCGCAGCTGCACCTGGAAGCCGCCACCGTTAACAGGGGGAGCGCACCTGCGGCGCGAGCCGTGCAAACCCACCTGGCACGCGGGAGGGCTGCTGGGCGTGCGCTGCGCTGCGCTGCCGCCCCTCCCCTCCCCTCCCCAGCCCAACCAGCCCGTCCGCCTCCCGCGCTTCTCCCGGGGCTGCAAGTGAGCGGTCTTCCCGGGCAGCGCCCGCCAGGGGGCACGGCGCCTCCCCTGCGCCAGCGCTCCGCGGGCGCCCCGCTTGGCCTCTCCCCCGGGGCGGTCGCGCGTGAGCGGCAGCCGTGAGCGCCGGCAGCAGGTGCAGGACGGGCTGACCTTGCTGGACGGCTGCACGAGGCGCCATGGCGGCCAGGCTGCTGTTGCTGCGGCGCGTCCTCCGGCGCGTCGCGCCCCGCGCCCCCGGGTGGGCCACCGGGGCGCCCGCCCCCGTCCGGGCCGCGAGCGCCGGCGGTGCGTATAGGCTGGGGTGGGGGGGGGCGCAGCCCCGGGGGCCTAGGGGGCGCTGCGCGGGGCCGGGGTTGCCCCCGAAGGGCGAAGCTCCGAGGGCGGGGAGAGGCCCCGCGCACGGCCGCTGCCCCCTGGCGCGCACCCGCGTCTCCAGAGCACTTGCGGGGCGTGTGTGGCTCCGGGGGGCGTCGCGCCCCGGGCCTGGAGCGCGCGGGCGTCGTCCGGCCGAGGGAGCGAGGCGCCCCGCCGCCGCCGCCGCCGCCGCCTTCGCCGGCTCGGCAGCTGTGGAAAAGCAAAACGCCCGCAAGCGCGAGAAGCAGGTGGCGTTTTCTGCCCAGGGCTGCGGGCAGCGGCTCCAGAATTGCTCCTTGCGGGACTCTGGTGGAACCAGAGCTTATTCAGCCGCGCATAGACCTGAGGACGCACCTCAGACCCGCGGCCGCAGTTTTCACCCTGCGTGTGAGGTGTTGAAGGGGACCCTTCCCATGCGCCCGTCGAAGTAGCAACTGGTTCCTATGGCTCTCCTGGGCTCCTAATGGGGTCGTGTGCCTTCACTGTTGAAACAAGGTTGCAGGTTGAGATTTCTGCCAGCTGTTCCAAACTCGTGTTCGTTCCCGAGGAAAGGTGCAATTGGCCTGCCATCGATTGTGGTTAATGTTTTGTAGCAGTGGCTGAACTCGGCATATTTGGCTGGGATGTGTCTATGCCACACACTTAAAGCTTGCAATTCAGGTTTGCAAGCTGTGTGGTGCTTGTGTCCAAGCCAGGCTGATGCCCAAAGTCCAAGAGCAGGGCTTGACTGTAAGGGACAGCCATCCCACTGCTGATCCTCAGCAGCTGCTGTTGTGTTGGCAAGACTCGTGCATCACTTGCTGAAGTGGCCCCTATTAAACCAGTGTGGCTTGGATTGCTACACAGACTGATCATTCTGGGGAAGCCCTACAGGAATTAGCTACATTCTTTTGCCCACTTTGATTTGATGGATTTTTACATAATCTGTTGAGGGCATTTTCACGCCCAGGTTTTTAGCATGTGCTTTGTCTAATAAATGTCCAGAATTATATATTCAGTGATACCTTGGCTCACGAACTTAATCGTTCCAGGACTCTGGTCGTGAGCCAAATTGGTCATGAGCCAAGTTAAATTTCCCCATAAGGTTCAATGTAAATGAGGTTAATCCGTTCTGTACCTATTTTTTAATCAGAAAAATGTGAAGCAAAGTGACAACAACAAAGATCGTGGCCATCTCCCCCTCCCACCCCGAGCAGGAGCGCGGCCATCTCCCCGACCCCCCAGCACGACCTTGATCACGCCTGTCATCCCTTCACGTGCCTGTCATCCTGGCACGCTGCGGGGGGGGGGGGAGACAGGCATGAACGCGGGCGCGCTGGGAGTGGGGAGAGACGGGTGGGAACGTGAGTGCGCTGGGAGGGGGGAGAGATGGGCAGGAATGCAGGCACGCTCGGGGGGGGGAGATGGGTGCAATCATGCTGGGTGGGGGAGATGGCCAAGATTGCGGTTGTGCTTGTGCAGGAAAGCCGGGCACAATTGCCTGTGTGCTCATGCAAGAAAGACGGGTGCGATCGGGCGTGATCGTGGCCATTTCTCCACTGGGAGGTGGGGGACGATGGCTGCGATCGCAGTCGCCACCCGAATGCGGAGTTCGCGACCTGAGTAAAAATGTTAATGAAATTGTTGTTTGTGACCCGATTTGGCTGTGAACTGAGGCGTTTGTGAGCCGAGGTACCACTGTATGTACATCCCAGCTTTCTCCCATTGTGGAGCTCAAGGTGGCTACATGTGTTTCCCAGGGGTCTCCCCTCCTCCAAGCTCAGGCCAGCCCTAGATCTACTTAGCTTCCACATGGTGGATGGCATACTCCGAGTCAGTTCACTTTCTGCTTGAATTTTCCTCTTAGAGCAGGACTGTTAGAAGAGAAGCAGCCCCAGTTGCTGCCAAACTGGCTATAAAGACTAGCAGAACTGAATGTCTTGAAATCTATACATGAGGATTGCTTTTTAAAGAAATCAGTCTTCTAGCAGCCTAGAAAATGCCTGCTTATCCGTTGGATCTAGGGATATTTCAGAATGTTTGTGACAAACAAAAAAGGCAGTTCCTCCTATCTCAAGCCTTCACCTTCAGGATTTAGACAGCTGTAATGACTAAGGGAAAAGGGCATCGTAAGATAGTATTTATCGCACATAAAAGGTTACAGATTGCCCAACACAAAGTACCTCTATCCATGCTAACCAACTGGAAAGCAGCAGCAGTGATACATAAATACAAACATGACTTGTGAAAAAAAGAGTGAGGTTGAGAAGTTAATCCCAAAGGAGATTAAGAGTTAGCTGGATTTATTCTGAAAAATCAAAATTTTCAGTATTTACAAAAGATTTGCTTTACTTCTGGATGCCAAGCAGAGCTTGGCATGTCTCGCCCTTTATTTGAATAGGTTTAAGCACCCCAAACATCTGTTAGTCACTTAAGTTTCCGGGGGGATTTCCCCTGTTTGTTTTTAGGTATTCCTACCGATGAAGAGCAAGCTACTGGACTTGAAAGGAAAATTCTGGAGGCCATGAAGAGAGGGGAGGTATGTCTAAACCAATACCTGTATCTTAGCCAACAGGTTCAATGACTTATTTACTTATGAATTGCACTTTTTAAGCAGTTGCATAGAAATCCTTGTTGGCTAACTTTAAAAAAGCAAATGGCATTCAAATATTCTGATAGGAGGAATGATAAATCAATTAAAACTTGCTTCAATTAATGATTAAATATGCATCATTTTATTTGTGTGCCACTTCTTCCAATTAATATTCAGAGCAGCTGAGAAGGGTAAACAAATGAAGTTAAAGGTACAGTAACCCATAGAATCATAAATGGCACATGGTAGGCATGTCACGAGCAGAGCCAGCTAGAGCTGAAAGTCGGACTAGATGGCCTAGGAGGCCCCTTCTGACTCGCTCTCTTTCTATGTGTCTATGTTTCTATAAATGTATCTAATATGTTTCATAATACTATAATCACATTATCAAGCTAACCTTGTTTCCCTAAATATATGAAGTACATATGTATATGAAATACATTTTCCCATCAACAGTTCTCACAAAAAATCCACATTCAACTATCAAACCTTTTAAAGGCTGAGCCAAATCACTAGAATTTATTAGCAACAATGCAGCAAAATGCTGCAATTAGATCCAGAGCATGTGCAGGAGCAACCTTACAGGAAGAAAAGAAAGGTTCTTTACTCAGCATAGGAGCAGAAAACACCCCCAGATTCTCAGTTTGACAAAGCCCGTGCCAAGGAAGGTCATTGAATCATGCAGTGGCTGGGCTGCATCTCTCACCTGGTCTGTGTCCGGGCCTGCTCCCCACGGTACTTTACAACACTGGTTCCGCCTCCTCTCATCAACAGGCACACAACCATACATGGCCACCGATTTTCATTTAAAATGTGCCAAATGGAGCAGCAATCTCTAAGGATCTTCAGGGGCAGACTTTATTGTGGGGCCTTGCACTTCCAGGCCAGGAAGAAATGAACTAGAGCCCAAGACCTGTAGGATGCACAGCTAGATTTCAAACATAGGTCTTGAAGTGAGAGCATATGCCCTTTGGTTTAAATGTGTGTCACTGTCTGCTTTAGCAAGTGCCCTTAGTGGAGAGAGATTTTCTCCTGAACTGAGAACAAAAGGAGAATGCCTCACCTAAGAGACTGACTGCCATTGGCAGTTTTTGTTAAGTTCTTCTATTGAAAATTCACACTGAAAAAATGTGTGAGCTATATTTTTTTTCAATGATATCTGCATAAGATACTATTTTAGCCAATCAAATGGTTTTTCATCAATTAGTCTAGCAGTTCAGTTAAAGATAACTCTGGTGAATATATCCCTGTAAATCATTACACACCTTCCATTTTTGAAAGCACGCTGGAAATAATTTTTATTTAAGCTGTTAAATTCAATAGAAAACTATTGGCAATGGGGAAACATGTTAAAATCTTGCTTTTAAAAATAGATGAAAAATTGTTTTGAGATAATTAAACGTTGAGTGATATTTGCAGAGACACCTAAGAGTAAAGCCAGGGTACAAAGAAATTAAAAATGCAAAGAGTGGGAGCACTTATAGAAACTGTTGACCAGAGTGGTAGAGAACAGTGGTAAAGATGCAGCCATCCCTAACAGTGAGACAGAAACATAGAAACAGAGTGAGTCAGAAGGGGCCTCCCGGGCCATCTAGTCTGACTCCTGGCTCTAAGCCAGCTCTGCTCACGACATGCCCACCATGTGCACGTCCAGCCTATCCTTGAACACCCACACCGATGGGGCCTCAACGACCTCCCGTGGAAGCCCATTCCACACCCTTGGGGTCCTGACTGTCAGGAAGTGCTTCCTGGCATCCAAATGGAACCTTGGCTCCCTGAGCTTTGCTCCGTTGGAGCGCGTTCTGCCTTCCTCTGCAGGGGAGAACAGGTCTCTACCCATCTCCGTGTGACACCCCCTCACAGACCCGTATGTCGCCAACATATCCCCTCTGAGTCTCCTCCAGGCTGAAGAGACCCAGTTCCCTCAGTCTCACCTCTAACTGGGAACTTTATTAAAAAAAACTGGAAGTGCATTCAGTAGACCAGCCTTAACATGTATTAAATTAGTCAACACAACACAGATGATAATACATGCTGTACTGTCCCATGGGGTTGTACTTGCGGAATAACCTAAAATGGTCGTCTCAGCTATGGGTTTTAAAACTACTTTCATTAACTACTGCTGCAGCACCCAACTACAGCCCAAAATAAAGGAATAAAACCCAAACTGTCAGGAAACTGAGCATAGTTGAAGTGTTCCTAAATGTCTGTCAGTAAAAGATGTTTGATCGTAACTTTAATAAAGAATTGAAGAAATAACTATGGGAATATTACATCAAGGACTTAAAAGCATTTTTCCCTAGGGGCTTCTACATTTCCAGAAATTTTATCTATCTATCCTTCCCTTTGTGCAAATTTTGAAAATCCTTTGCAGGAGAGTAAAGGCTTGGTAGCAATAGATGTTACTTGAATGTACCTTGCTTTAAAGATTGTGGTCATCACTTTACTAGAAGATGTTTCATAATCTCATACTGTACCTTTTTTTTAGAAAAGAAAAAGGATCCTTTAAAAAGCTGTTGTTCCAGTGGCATTTTCCTCAAGTTTTACGATACAGTGAAGCAGCGCAGTATAGTGTTTTATACATTACCTGGTAGATCTCCCGGCCCAAGAACAACCATCTTTTGATTTCAGAACTGCTAGCATTTAAACTTCCAGATACTTGCAGTCATTACTGAGGCTTGTGTATGATCCATTTCCTCCAACCTTTTGGTCAAGGTACCAATTGGCTATGTTTCCTGACGGGCAAAGCACCTGTGAGCCTTAGAGATTTCACTTCTTCTTCCCTGACTTCCAGCTGGAATCATACTTATGGTCTTTAAAATGTTTGATAGTGATTGGACACTTTGCTAATGACAGAACCATGTGCGACCTGACCTACCACTTAGAAATCCTCGGTTCTACTTTCGCCACGCACCATAATACAAGAGGTCCCAACTGAAATTTTACACACACTCTGTTTTGCAACACTTCTCAACCTTGCTGATTTGCACATGCGAATATCGTCAGCCTTCAACATGCATGCAAAGCAGGAAAAGAATCTTGCAAAAGGGCCAAGATAGGAGACGGTTGGGAAAAGTGGCCAAGTTTACTTCCAATGGAGATCTTCCTTGCTTAGATTTAAATGCTAATCCTATAGTCAATTTTTAAAAACTTTTAGCATGTGTAGTTCTTAAAATATTTTTATGGATTTAGAAGCCCAATATGGTAATGATTTGGACAAAGAGTATTTCCCTCTAGCGCTTATGTATTTTGAATTTACTTTATGCTTTTAGCTAATGTTGTTCTTCGTTCTATATAAAGGATCCATACAGTATTTTCAAACCCAAGAGCTATGCAGGAACAAAAGAAGATCCTCAAATTGTTCCATCAGTTGGAGACAAGAGAATAGTAGGCTGTATCTGTACGTATCAGAATTTGTATCTACTCAGTCATTTTGTAACCTTTAAAACCTTACTGTCTTCCATTTAGAGTACAGTCCATTCCTACTGTAGCAAAATGGGCTCCTGTCAATTTCAGCAGAGGTCAAGAGCGCCTTTCCCCCTGCACTCACATCCTAAGTGTGCACTTGAAACTTGCCCAAATGGTCAAGAGTGGGATATAGGAGGCGTGTCCAACCCTCTCGGTTCCTGCATTGGTCCAGTATATCACCTGTACTTGCAGGACAGGGAATACACACAAGGGGAGGGCCTGTATCTAAATATTCCATAAGCATATTATGAAATGACTATAGCATACTTTTTGTGAAACTGATTTGGCCTGTAAAACTGGTTTCTATTTTGACTAGCTCCTATTTTTTAAATAAAAGAACTTGGCTTAAAATAAACTTTAAACTTGGCTTAAAGCAAATCTACAGTACCATTTAAAACTGAGAATCCTGGCAAAACTTAGGGCCATATTTCAAGTAAGAGTTGCATGCGACAAGCCTGAGATAATGGTAGAAAATTACGAAACATTGTATTGTGGATTATATTGAGAAACTTTTTTTTCTAAATCTGGGGTACTAGAAGAGGGGTGCCTGGTGGAATGTTGTCCATGGAGTCGTGATGGGTCGGGCACGACTTTGCGACTAAACCAAAAAAGAAGAGGGGCAGTAGAGAATCAGAAGGCAATGTTTCCTAGATGCTTCTTCAGGTGTTCTAGTAAGAGACTGACAGCACTGTTTGGTTGAATCAGTGTACAGGAAAAAGGTTAAATCTTCCCTGCTAATTCTCTCCCACATTCATGTATTTGGGAGCATGTTAAGCACTGTTTACCTATCCTAAAGAGGCAACTGTGTAAATGATGCAAAATTATTTCTCACTAGTCCGATAGTAAGATCAATTAGCCTTTAATAGCAATGTTGCTAAGTGTTTATTATCCGAGTCAAAAAAAAAAACTATTTTCAAATATTGCTGGAATATTTTATAAAATCCTGGAAGCACTCTAAAATGGATTCTAAACCAACAGGTATGAAAATGATGTGTTTCCTTCTGCAGGTGAAGAAGATAACTCTGCTATTATTTGGTTCTGGGTACACAAAGGCGAGAGCCAGCGTTGCCCTCAGTGTGGGGCTTATTACAAGCTGGTACATCATGAAGTTCCTCCTTGAGAGACCTGATAAGAGGAGAAATACCCTTTGAATATTCTTTTAAGATGCAGACTTAATAAAAATGTTTGCCTCTGCCTGCATCAAGCTTGGTTGAGTCAGTGCATCTAAGGACTGAAACAGAAACAACACAGGAGAGCCATGAACAGATCTTCCAGTTATTTGCCGAGACCAGAATAGCCACGGGGGTTCTAATCTGGATAAGAACTGAGAGTGCTTTCCTAATTTAAAATCGCATACATACAGCCTTGTGGAAGTATCTGAAAAATGTACAGGTACCAGCCTGATGGTGGATTGCATACTAACAGGGTATGTACAGCTATGCTTGTACCTTCAATACTTTTAACAGCCTTCCACTCCTCCGTGTGGTAAGAAGTATGTACATACACCTAACTTTAGCCCAAAGCTGCCATATAGTCCAAAGTAATCCCATGGGTTTCACTGGCATTATTCAACTCAAGGCACTTCCGACTTAAATGAGGAAAGGGAGGATGATTCACGCTACAAACCATGCTCTTGGGCAATTCCTCAGATGAGCTTCCATATACAAACGCAACGTACTCCTCTGCAACACAAACCGTGTACTGCAGCTATTTCGATATTCTTCCTGGAGGGATGGATCTATGTGCACAAATGCAGACTTCCAGTAGTTCCCAGTTTGGTAAAGCTAAGCTCCTGTCAAGGGAGGATCTATCCAAATAGGAATGGCCTGTGTTGCTTTTCTTGCTTCTCTTGTAATACGGAAGGTGAAGAATACATATGTGTTTGTGTACAGTGTGCATCTGTTTCCTTGAACTATGGAATGTAGACACAGGCACAGCTATTCAAACGGCTTTAGATTTACATCCATGATGAAGCCTCAGTGACCCCAAATGTATGCTTACAGTGGCCACCTACAAAAGGAAGCATAGGCAGTAGCCCCCGTTTTGTCTGCTATGGGGTACTTCAAGCCATGTAAACCAGAGTCCAGCTTGGTGTTGGGTATATAACCACAGTACAGGACAAACAGGAAGGGGGGGGGGTAAGTCTGCAAGGGTCAGCTACACAACACGAGCACATCTGAACCTCAAACTAATCCCCAGAGAAGTGTCCTAAGTGAAAGTTCTCTATTGTGATTCCTGCAAGAAATGAAATTTGTTAAAGAATTAAGGCATCTACATGTGTGTATGTCCATAATCCAACACTTTCATTCAATAATTTTTATTTTATGCTTGAATTGTTTTCACCGCAGTTTATAAATCTAAAAAAAATAAATATTTTGTTTCACAACTGAAAGTCACATACTATCAATAACATGTAAACATTCAGGAACTTAAACCAGCCGTCCCACCCTACCCTCCCACCCCCATCGATCCATATGTTCAGCTCAATTAAACCATCTCAGGAGATTATGTTGAAGTCCAAAAACAGCCTTTTAAAAAGAGGGCATTTAAAAATTGTCTGAAAAAGTGAAAGTTCAATCAGAACTTCAATGCTGCTCTTCCAGCATTTGAAAGAGAACAACGGATGAAATCTCAGAGTTTCTGAAGTTAAAGGCAAGAAGTGGAGATTTAGTCAACAACTGCGGACAGATGTACAGGCATTTCTAGATTATTCTAATTGCACATTTGCCAAGGGTTAAATTCCAAAATTAAATCATGGGATCTCTTCATAATTTTAACTTATCAAATAGCAGCTCCACATGACCATGTAATGACCTTTGATATTGCCTTGAATGTCTTTTATGTTAATAGGAGCTGAGTCTTTCCAACCATATAAATTCTTCTCTAGCATCATGGCTCATCTTCAGATTTTCACAAATACAGATGCCAATCTCCGCCTTATCAGCCGAGACACTTAAGCTGTTCTTTGTTTTCATGTGATAAGCCCCAAATTATTTATAAGCAATAGATACCCTACTGCTGTTGGGGTGCAGGCATTTTATTAAGAAAACACAAACCCTTTATTTACAAGATGAAAGCTCGACAGTAACAGTTGCAGTGATTGAAAAAATAAGCACATCTTTCACCCACAAAGCAAGTCATTTTGCAATATGTGAAGTACTAAAATTTAGTTAGTGAAACATCAGCCGTTTTTCCAAAGTTGTATTTTTATTGTCAAGATGGCAAAATGCGGCTCCGGAGTTTGGACAGAGACAGTTTATTAGTGTGCAAGGATTTTTGGCTGCTATTAAAGAATCAGATCATTGAACATGTTTATGAACAGATTCTTACCATCGCCACCACTGTCAGGCCTTGCACTCAATGTGCCACTGCAGGGTAGGTGCAAGTGTAATGTTTCCACATTAAACAGTTGCACTGTTCTGAGCATCTACAAGTTATACTAAGTTGAAGCCTTCACAGTGATCAATAGCCTGAATCAACTTGGCTTTCAGCACTTCTTTGTCAGTATATTTTGGGAGATCAAGAAGATTAAAACATGTATGGGATACTGGAAGATATCCCTCTCCACCTCCTGTTGGCTGGATAACCAGACTAAGGCTCTTCATCCCAAGAATAGGAATACGGTCACTACCTGTCAAAAATACTACCGAGAAAAAGAAATGAAATGAGAAAAGTCCAGGTACAAAGTCCAAAAACTTAGCGCAGATTAGTGCTGTGTCATATGTGATAATGTAATTATTTAACTTTGGTTTCATTCTCTGACACAGTAACAGTTCTTAAAGAAGATGCTTACTGACCCTTTAAAGGCAATTAGCCATTTTGCTAAAGATAACACCACAAATTAATTTTTTATCAACTGCTTTTTTAACACATTTAACAAAACTAAATAAATTTTATACTTTTAACTCAGTAGACTGTGAGGTTAAGCTAGTGATAATCCATTTCAAACCAAAAGCCAGTGTTTTACCTTTAATAACAGAAGAACAATTTTAACAGTCCTTTCCACTAGCTTGATCTGCAGCATCTAAACAGCCGCAATTCATACTTCCTCACATGCATCTGGGTAAACTTTAGAGTACACTATACATTCAAAAGTTAGTTGAACTTAAAATCTACTGGGGCAACTTTGTCATGGTTTAGTTCCGCTGATAATCAACAGAAACAAAAGCCAATTTTATCTTCATTCAACCAGTCTCTCAGCTAGAATTTTAATGGTTTGAAAACTTTAATAATCTTCCTTGAACCACCAAAGGTTATTCACTGATCTCAGCATCCTGCAATTTCACAACCCAAAACATTTACACATTGGTAGAGGAACAAAAGCCACTTCCTTTAGATATGGAGAGTCACATGGAGGTTGCATGATATAACAACCCAGTGTAGATTGCTTACCATTCACTCAATCCCATTTAGTGATTTCCTCCTGCTCTCAATCTTATCCTCACAACAACAGCCCTGTGATGTAAGTTGGGCTGAGAGTCTGTGAACAGCCCAAAGTCACCCAGTTGGCTCCATGGCTCAGTGGGGACTAGAATCAGATCCCCTGTGTCCCAGTCCCATGCTCCTAACCAGTACATCACACTGGCTCACAGACTTGTATCACACAAATAGCAGTAAGCTTCAAGCTTACTCATTCCTCGGCCTTCAGGCAGAACTGTGAAGAGATCACAAGAATCCACTTTGGCTCTTTTTGTTCAAATTTGGAGGGAATTCTCATTGGTGTAAACAAGAAACAGACATGATGTTTGCCGTCCCATCAGCCAACACAAACAATCAAAAGATATTGGAAGTTCTCACTCAAAACATTTGGAAGCCACCAAGTTGTCTACCACTGGTGCAAACTATGTTTTGTTAGATGCCTTCATCATAAACCAGCATTTGATCATGGCTTCTTTGAACTAACCAGTTTTGAGTAATCAAAGTCCCTTCTATGTTCAGACATAGTTTGACAGCAGAAGTGGCTATTTCCAATCTCCACGTGACTATGCCAAAAAACAAGAATGTGGAAAGGAATTAAGCAAACCCAAGGTTGACTTCTGCTTGAGCCACAGAGAGTTATCTTCTACAGAGTACATCATTAAAACTATTTGTACTTACACAAAAATTGTTTCTTCTTTTCCAATGGTAATTCATGAAAAACTTCCCAGAACATTTTAATTGTTGGATGCTCAGTCCAATACTCTCCTTTGTATTGTGTATTCTAAGAACAATCAAAATCATACCTTCTTTTCATCAAATGTACCAATACAATCAATCTGGAAATTCTGCATTTAGTACAAAATTTTAATGTACAAATAAATCTTTAATAATATTAGATAGCTCTAGCCATAGCCTATAACCAGGAAATTCAGAAACAGAAGTACCAGTTTGAGTCCTGAGCGAATTTAACACTGGTGTGCATAAGGGAAACATTTTTTTAACTTTCTAACTAAATATTCACTGATCAAAACAGTTATTCCTATGAAATCTGAGGTCAAAGATTAAGCGCAACAGTGAGTTTACAGGCATTAAAAAGATCTCCCATTTACTTTTCAACAACTTGCTAATTCTGGAGTAGACACGTACCTTTTCTAATTCTTTCCAGTCATAGTTTGTGTTACCGATCACCATCGCTTGCAGTTCATTGGGTTGGAAGAGCTGCAGAACTTTACCTCCACACACCTTGTGAAAGCCTTCATGGAATGCATCATAGAGAGAAGCCACGGATTTATTGAAGATGTAGTCCACATAAGCAGCCACAAACTCTTGCCTAAAATTCAAACGAAAAGAGGAGTCACAAATTTTTCAAAAGGTAAAATATTTCACCACAGTGCCTCTACCAATAAACAGCTAATTTAGCACTGACAATTTTCAGAGCATTCCTAGCAAAGAACTAGGAATAGGCCACACAGATGGATGGCATTCTGGTGACAAGCACAGCAGCAAAAACTAAAACATAAAAACATCCTTTAACCTAAGCACTGGCTTAGTCAGAGAATGGCCAAGATCAGGTATTTTTCCAGTTTCAAAAACGATGGTGTATGAAAACAGGAGTATCAGGCTCATATATATTCTGCCCTCACCCATCCCCTTGCATGGACAGCTTGCTTCAGTCTTGGCTTGCATCACACCAGAGTTCTTAATTCCGTTTGACCTAGAATATTCTGGTTTGATGCTAATTAATGACTGAAGACCTTGGTTTATTATGTTGTAAGCTGCGCCAAGGCTTCGGCGAATGGGGCGGCATAAAAATGTTTTAATAAATAAATAAATAAATTATCTTGCTTAGTTAGCCAACACTAAACTGCCTTGTTGATTTGATATTAGCAGAGCATTCCAACTTATTGCAAGTTGGAAATGGATCACTTCCGTCTGCAGATGAGATGAGAAGCACCTGAAACCTTTTCATTTTTGGTTTCCTAAACCATGGTTTAGGAACCTGGGAAGACAGACGGTTGCTTGGGTCTTGTTGGCAGAAATGACCAAGAAAAAAAAGAGTAGAGGGGAAGGAAGATGTATTTCTTTAAAACATTTGCTGCTTGCCAACATCACACACACACAACTTTTGCAATCTCTAGATGACACAGGTTTTGAATGATAAATCAAGTGAAAATTCCCAAACTAAACCCCCTTTTACTTGAATTCTGAAGAGGAAATGAAAAGCTTCCCTCCCTGAAAAAAAATTCAGCCAAAGTTGAATTTTGTCCACAAGCACTGCTAAAAACTCACCTATTTTGTTTGACAACAGGAATATCAGCACCATTAGGAATTAGCTCTTTAACTTCTGTGGCACCAAAATTTTCAACAGTGATCTGTTTATAACATGAGAGTATATTTTATTTTTTTGCTGCAGAAAATCAATTATTCAAAACAGGTTAGTGAAGCATGTAAGCCCAGCTTTTGACAGAATAGGGAGAACTAGTAAAATGTTACAACTTATCACACTTAAAAAGATCAACACAGAGTATCTCAATCTTACTGTAAAGTTGAGGCAGAAAGTATCTTCTATATCATCTTCTGGATAGTCCAGTAACTGCTGCATACTCCTGAAAATAAAATTTTATCATTCTTCATATCAAGGTTAAAATTAACAGCACAACTTATTTTGAAGCTTTTAGGCTTGAAACAATTGGATTACTTTGCTGCTGCAATTCGAAGCACTCCTAGTCCGGAACTGCAACCACACCACTCCATCTCCACTCCCCAGTATTCCACGTTTATTCCCAGTAATTACCCTCCCACCACCCTCATTTTCCCGATAGATTTCCTATACTCCTGTAAAACATCTGAGTTTTCTATCTTGCTGGAGGATCAGAATTCAAAGTAGTAAGATCTCTACTAATATGTCTATTTGTTCCAGCACTTAGTTTACCAGCTGCATTTGTAATATTCCAAAATATTCAACATACTGGATAGTTCACATTTCATAACAACTCATGATGGAAAAACAGCTCAATGGCTTACCATGAAGTGCCAAAAAAACCCCTGACAAGCCTGGTAAGACAATCAGGTCCATCATGGTTGCTTTCCTCCCTCCCTCCGCTTCCTTCCCTCTCACGCCTCCAAGCAATACCCCAAGAGACATCATGGCAAGGCTCCCCTGTTTGACAGCCATGATTGTGAGCCAACCTTGGCTCACCAGAACTGTCAGAGTCTCTGCTGCACAAACAATAAAAGATCATAAAAGTGAACCATGATCCAAGCTGTGCAAGCTACCCAAAAGATCAACTTTACATATCTTCTTCCTAACATATTTATCGTTCATTTCATTGCACTAATGAAAAACACTATACTATGCAGCTATACTCTATAGTGTACTTGGGGTTTGCTAGAGAATGCAGGATCTTTCTTCTATCTAAACTCATGCAGGATTTCATCCATTTTGTGAGCCGCCCCAAGGCTTCGGCGAATGGGGCGGCATAGAAATTTTCTAAATAAAATAAATAAATAAAACCCATTATTGTACTTCTGCTGCAGGAAGCTTACCTGCCAACATCAGGCATTAGCTCTTTGAGGTCCTCCAGGGTAGGTTTCTTGTTCAGAAGTTTCTTATACAAAGCCAAGGGAAAATGAAGCTCTACAATAGTAAAATTATATATTGCTAGCCCACAGACAACACCAATCAGGTGAAACAAGTCACTGTCTTCAAATGTCTGCAAATATAAAAATAATGAAATTAAACCACACAGTGGTATGAAGACATGCATAACTGCTGAAGTTTAATAAACCATACTATATTCAACAGCAGCACTTAACTGTTTATTATTGTTTTTGTAATCTTTTCTTGTGGGGTAACCACTGTTTTGACTGCTCTTTAGAAGGTCAGAAACTGAAGATGAAACTCAAATACTTTGGCAACTCACTGGAGAAGAGCTTAATGCTGGGAACGATTGACGGCAAAAGGAGATGGGGACGGCAGAGGTTGAGGTGGCTGGATGGAGTCACTGGGGCAGTGGGTGTGGGCTTGAGTGGACTCCAAGAATAGAGGAGGACAGGAGAGCCTGGAGGAAGGTTGTCCATGGGGTCGTGATGTTTAGTCACACATGACTTTGCAACTAAACAACAACAAACCACTGTTCTGGAGTTGGCAATGCAAAGCTTCCTTGCCTGGCACCACATGAATCCTAGCTCTGAGAGGGACAGGAGAAATGGGAGAGCACACAGTTTAGGTTTTGCTCCACAAATCTTGCCTAAAGAACCCATAAACAAACTGGCTTCAGTAAGTGGATGGGAGTGCATTTTCCCTGAATGGGTTCACAGTCTGGATGTGCTGCCATACCTGGCTTATCCTTGAAAGCCCAAATGGCTCCTATGGCTCAATGCACATTTTGTCAGCTTTAGTTGATGCACCATCTATAACTGCTCTGAGGGTTATCTATTTCCTGTTAATATCCTGCGTGCAGTACTAACTTTGGGGATAACTGTCAATCTTCAGTTAATTCAGAATACAGCAGCCAGGTTACCAGATGAAACTAACGAAATAAAATACCTGACCAAACCAAACACAAGGACTGCCTGGGTATTTCTGGGCACCAGGTAAGGTGCTGGTTCTTCCTGTAAAATCCTAAGTCAGCCTAGGACCAAGGTACCTAACAGACTACTCTTCCTTCATGAACCTGCACAGAGTTTAACATTATCCTTGGGGTCCCTTCTTTAAGTCCCCCCGCCTTTTGAAGCAAGGCAAATTTTGAAAGGAGAAAGCACCTTTTCAGTTATGGCATATCATCTGTAGATCTTTGGAGGCTTGCAAGAGGACATCTTTTGGTTGTTATTGTTGTTTTTTTAAGAACAAAGAAGACACCTTTTCATTGTCATGAGTGGAACCAGCTGAAGCCGGGGGTCAGACTAGAAGGCCTGGGAGGCCCCTTCTGACTCACTCAGTTTCTATATTCTATTTGCCTGGGCCTTTTCAATGTGTAAGATGTGTCCTAAAGCATGAGCTTTGTTTTACTTGCAGATCATGTTGCAGCTGTTTTCAATTTAATAATGTTATTTAGGGTTTGAAGTTACTCTAACATCCTTAAGCTGAAGAACAGGACATAAATGTTCATAATAAATGCAATGAACGGGAACAAGGATCCCCATGTACCTGTACAATGCAGTGATGCAAAAATGTAAGCAATGACTTCAACATATAGCTACTAAGTACAAGGAACTAACACATATAAGTGAGCAAACAATTAACAAATTCCACAGGTCAGACATAAAACACTAAAATAATTAGGTACTGCACAAGTCTATAACCACCAAGGGAAGACAATAGAAATCCTCTGAGTACAGCGCAAATGTTATCATGGAGTATGGGATCGCAGCCAGTGCAAACTACATAGTAACTTCCTTCTCTAAGCACCCCAAGGGCCATGTTGGAGGGCAAACAAACAATTACTCATAAGCCATGAAATAAGCCAAGACATTACGTACCTTATCTGAGAACCAAATGAGCCTGGAGTCTTCATAATACCTGAACATTCCATACTTGGGATCTAACAGCTCTCTCATGATCAGTAAGAAAAATTCTTTGCGGACTCCCCCTGCATCAACGGCTTCTTCTCCTACAAAAATGACCTAACATTGGCAATGCAGTTAGCATACTACATTTAAAAAATTACACATACATTCAGATGTGTTACTTGAGCAACATAACAAAGAGACTGAACAAGCTGCACTTTTCAAAATGGTTTACATGCACAAATGATGCAGTGTGCGACCATGAAAAATGTGTATTTGCAGTCTTCACAGACACTGATTCTCCAGTAAATGAAAGCTGACGGGCAAGTTATCCAAGGCCCAACAGATCCCACTCCCCACTAAAACACCAAAAGGCTTGAGAGGCTGTGATTTTGAGGGCAGGAGGAAAGGAAGTGCTGAATGCTTTATCTGCCAATCTCACTGCCAGTTTCCAATATAAATGCTTTATATGCCAATCTCACTGCCGGTTTCCAATATAAATATTGTAAGGGGAAAAGTAGCAACAAGGGGGAGAAAAACTCCAAGGGTCAATTAGGCTTATAAAGCTCACTAAAGAAAAACATGCAAACAGACTATACCTTCAGAGGCTTCTTGTAGTCCACATTTTTTGTTTTCCTTAGGACTTCCATGGCATCCCCCACAATGTTGTCTCTGCGCACTATTAAGATCAGACATGGATTGACAGACTCAAATACTGGGAGAAAAATAGATGAAAAATTCTGTCTGTGAGCCTGGTCAACAGCCATCTGGGGAAACCCAAGTAAAAGTCTTAGTGGAAGAAACAATAGCAACAAACATTACATTTAATGAAACAATAAGCAACAACAGGCTTAATGTTCAATAGACTCTACAATCGCTTAGTAACATTCCCGGCCTGTGAGAACATCAATATAGTGTTCCCTGAATTTTTGATACTTGGGGCATAGCTTGTGCTCAGTCACCTCCCGTAACAATGAGTAGGCATCCTCCGTATAGCTGAGGGATAGTCCAGTTAATATTGGCCCTAGTCTCTAGGCTTCCCTTTTGCCTGAAAATTTAGGACATGGAAATACGTTTTCTGGATAAGTTTCCGGAACTGCCCTGTATAAGCTACCTCTGAATTTTTATTCCCTCCCTCAGAAGGATGTCACTGCTTCTATACTGGTGAAAAGGGTGGGATGGAGGAAGGTGAAGATCAAAGCTGCATGAATCTACCAGGATGGATTCATTTTCCAAGACACACACCAGACCTCTCCACAGCACTTGATTGGGTAATTACTGAATTAATGCTACAAATTGTTGTAGCATTATAATCTACACAAGTGCTTCAAGCATCAGCAAAAATCAGGCAGGTAAGAACCCTACTCTCTCTGAAGATACTAATCCGTAGTGATTTGGCAAGCAAATCTGCCTAGAGAACAATAAACCAAGTTTGCAGACATTACTAATTGCAATTTTAAATAGATTTGAGAGCCACTGTGCACAATGTCTGAGTGATTGTATACTCAAATTAAGTTTACACACTAGAGTTCATCTGTGACTGCATAGGTAACTTCACTTTAAAGGAGAAAATCTGCTTAAAAAGCATGCTAGGAAAGTTGAAGACATGGATAAATATGCTCACTTTTATAAGGATAAGCACATACATTTTAGTTGTATCAAGCCATAAATCTGCTCTGTACAATGTTTTTCGATATTAAAACAAATCACAATTTTACCTGCATCTGTAAAACGGCATCTGTTTGCAAAAGTGTGGTCTTTGCCTGTGCATCAAACACAAAGGGATAGGTGCAAATTGTAACTGGCACATCTGCTAACTAAAAAGAACAAGAGGAAAAAGCTGTTAGTGATTACAATATCGAGAAAAAGGGTTTGTAAAATTCTGCTTAATTGATGAAATGTTGACCAGTGTAGGGAACTTATTGTAAACTTGTCTTCTATACATATATGGTCCTGGAAGCGTTCTTTTATAAACAGGTACAAAGTAGTATTATCCTTTGTATGAAAATACAACTTCTTAAGTGATCAGACCTGCCTACTCTATGAATTCTATAAAAAATTTAATCTACTTACTAAATAGTGGCTTTACCTTTCAAGATTATCCATGAGACTAATTTGAAGACCCATGGACAAACTTCACAAGTCAGTATTTCCTGGTTCCAGAATTTTACTGTGGAAATCAAATAACATCTTACCTCATTTAATCCATAGCTGATATCCTACCCATAGTAGTGCACAAAAGGCAGCAGTAATTAAGAAGAAAAAGCACTATTAGTTTTTTCTGCATTTACATTTCCCACCTCTCACCACTGGAAAAAATTAAAACACACTAAAATATTGACCACTAGTGCCAAACAGAAGGGAACCAGTACTTCATATGATTTGGAAGCTATTTTTCTATTAATGTAACCTAAACTTTTTTTTTTGCAGCCACATCACATTGTTGGCTCATGATCTATAAAAATTCTAAGATCTTTCTCACAGTAGCCAAGTATCCTCCACTTTGCAACCGTATATTTAGTTTCCTTTTTCTAAGCGTAGAACTTGATATTTGTCCCTACTGAATTTCATTCTGTCGCTTTCAGGCCAGTGCCCCAGCTTATCAAGATCACTAACAGTTACAGAAGAGTCATGGCTCTTCTGTATTTTCCTCTTTAGCAGATCATATCCGTAAGAAAAGAGATGGAAGGCGCTATGAGGTACACATCTGAGTGCAACAGATTGATGACAATATCATCTGAATTCTCTATAAAATTCCATGAACGATAACAGGGTGACTGCCCATTTAAAATCTTTGTCTGGAAGCATGCTTTCTTTAAACAGGTAATAGCAGCATTGGGATTCATCCCTTTTCCTAATTACTTGCTACTTTCTGGCTCCAGGTTATCTTTCTTTCTCAATTTCTTGCTCCATTTAATTTTCATTCTAAATCTGCTTCCATTTTCTTCTTCTCCCTCATCTTTTGTTTTTTTCCTCAGGAGGATGTAATAGTTTGCGAGCGTTTTGGCAGGAACCCTCTCCCCATGTCTTTATAAAAGGAAGGGGCTCTGGCATTTTCCCTCGGCTCCAGCAAGACCACAGCAAGGTGGCGCCATTCCAGAATAGTACCATAAAGTGGTACCAGGAGGACTGGAGAAAATTTTACAAGGGTTCAGAAATAAAGGGATGAGAAAAACACTTAAGGAAAAACACTGAAGAAAAAAGGAACAGGAGGGAAAGAATTTCCTGAGGCACTGAAGGCGGCTGAAGATGAACTGGGGAGAAATGATGGGAGCCCTTCCATTTTATATAGACAGTGGAGGGGTTCCCACTAAAACACTCTCAAGCTATTAAACCTTCGCAGCAACAGGCTCCATGCAGGCACAAAGGATACATGTGTGATGCACAGAGACCACAAAGAAGATTGTGAAATGTTTTGGCATAAAGCGTCGAGAGAATGTTCCAACTGCAGCATACACTCACATTGTGAATGCAACATTTCACATTTTAAGAATTTTTTAGAACTTTTCTAAACTTTTTAAAAAAATGAACATTCCATATTGTACAATCATTTTAAAGATTAAAAAAGATTTCTAAACCTATGAACTGGTTATATATTTGCTGACTGTTTACTGTGGATGCCTGTGCCATGTCATATATATCACATCTATGAATGGACACCTATGTGTCCATTTAGTGAAATAACCATCGTAATGTATTTTAAAATTAACATCAGAAGCTCAAAAAAACTAAACTAACAGAGGCTTTTCAATGTTTCTGCTTGGCATCAACATGTTGATAATTCATGCTGTATCTGCATGCATAACTAATCATTCAAAATTCATTTTAATCATCTTTTCCATTTCTTGAGCTGCTGCACAGCAAATTATGTTTCTCATAATGAGTATTCCAACTACAGATTCTATTTAACCTAGCCTGACTCTGGGCTCCACTCCAAGACATTACAAAAATACTTCAAACTCCTGACTTGAGATATACGAGCAGGGAAAGAGACACTTCTAATCTAAAAATAAATTTGGTATCAGGGAATGAGGTTGTGGATCACTGTGGGGGGGAGGGGGGCTTTTCTTTGAAAGTACCACTGTCGCTAAATTGAAAAGGTATAAACAACAGATTCCATCACGGGTACTTGCAATGGTGTGAAGTCAAATACAGGTATCCTCTTTCATTAGAAGTTTATAGAAGCAGATGGGATTCTTAAGTAGTATTATTAGGACTTAAGTATTTTACCATCATCATTTAACAATGCAAGCACTTTAGTTCCACTTTCCTTTATTAAATAGCTTTCAAATACCTTCCTTTGCATTAAAGTTCAATTCCATTGCTACCTTCAGAACAAACTAAGAATCTATATTTTGACTTTAGGTAGTACCATATCTACTGCCATATAAAGATGACTCAGGTATAAGACAAGGTCAACATTTTGGGCTGTTTTTCTGGTATTTGTCATACATCAGGCGTAAAAGACAACCCCCAATTTTTGCTTCGGTATTTCCAGCTTCAAGAGTCCTCTTATATGCTGGCATATATGGTCATATCTCTAACAAAGAACAGTAAATATCTCTAGGAGAGTAATGTAAGTGTTGCTGGAAGAAATGTGATTATCTCTAGAGTTTTTGCATCCACTGAGAGACAAAACATGTGAGTGAGGCTGACTAATGCTGAGAACAGAATCCTCAGAGATATTCATGATTTTTCCACTTTCATGGGAGGCCTGCAGTTTCAGGCATCTGCTGGTGGGCTTAGAACCCATCCCCTGTGGATACAGGAACCCCACTGTACAAGGAATTTTTTTCACTTGGTGTATAAGACAACCTCACAATTTTTGCCTTGCTATTTCCAGTTTCTAGGGTCATCTTATATGACAATATATACAATAACTCAATTAGCGTTTTGGCAACAAGCAAAAGCATACCAGAAACAGAGATAACTATTTCCTAGTAACATATATCTCATAACTCAGTAAGTTTTTTACATTTATACACATAGAGAGACCATCCAGCTTCTAGATGTGGTAATTAAAATTTTATATGGTACATGCAGAGAAAAATGTTCATTGACTGAATGCACATAAATTCAGCTCATTTCTCTAATGTTTCTAATGACAGGATGAGATATCTTAGCACCAAATTTCTATGTTTACCTTTTATGTAAAAAATAACTTAGGGACTGAGGTAGGTTTGATATATGGAAAAGAGAAAGATGATTTAACAGAATACACTTCACATTACAAAACAGTCATATGACTCCAGAGTTCAGATTCATCCTCTTAGGCAATGGCTCTCAAATTTCAACGTTTTCCTGAGAAGTTCTTCTACCTACACTAAAACAGCATCATGAGACCCACTCACCTCTTGGATTTATTGGAAGTCTCAAGGACTATCAAAACAACATTCTATGGCTTGGATCCCGAGGTGTGCTGGCAGAAGGTGACTTTCCTACACTCTCCTACCTCTCAGGTCCCCTGAAAAGCCTCTTCAGAGGGTTGAGGGATACTCTTGAATGGGATTTACTGTGCCATGGGGGGGCTAAAGGAGAAGATTGCAAAAAATCATATACAGGTATGTTCTGTCCATTCGTTTTCCATTAGGTATGTTCTATCTATTAGTGGAAACTAGGTTCCGAGCTATACGTAGAAGAACTCGACTACATTTATGTTTGTGCAAGGGCAGTTGTGCAAGCAGTTGTGCGCTATGCTTGTGCAACAAGCTATGCAACCTACTGATCATTTTGCTTGTGTAACTGGTAGTACAACTACTTGTGCAACTGGCTGCACAACCAGTTGTGCCAGTGCAATGGGCAACTACTTGCACAATGCAATGATTTAGCAGAGTTCCACTAGAAGGTCTGAGTTTGTGGAATGACATCACTGGATACTGCCATAATCAATGGGGCCAGTCAAATGCAATCATGGTCTGCTGCGACAAGAGCAAACAAGCAGTAGCCTTGGATTTACAGGATCCTTTCTCATGGGCCATGTTTAGAAGCTTATGATTATGATTAGTGGCATACCCGAGTTTGCTATTTCATTCAAACTACATAAGATATCATTTGAGCTGCAGTCTTTACTCCCTAAACAATCAACTCCCTTCTACAGTGCAGATCAAAGTTATTTTTTCCTGCAGGAAATTAAATCAAACAAAGCCAAAACTAGGATTGACAGGAAAGCTAGGAGCTACTCTAGACAGAGGATTTGTCACAATGTAAAACTATTCTTACTCTGTACTATTTTCAATTGCAGGAGCAGGAGGATTCCGTAACTGAATTTTTAAAAACCCATACGCAAACTAACACGTCAAGAGAACAGTTAACCCTTCACCCTGACAACTGGCTCTGGATTCATAAGAACTTATTTTTATAACTGGGGAAGCAAAATTATAAAGTTTACTCATCAAGTGTAAGAACCTAAAACATTTATACCACATGAATCCAAGTGCACATAGTACAAATACTACGTACTATACATGACATAGGGAAAACAAAAATGGGACATTTACCATTCCATATGCCTGCTGTTGGATCCAATTGAAGTAATCATTTCTTATGTCTATCAAATCCTGTATTTCATGTATGTAGAATTTATCATACTGAATGATTTGCCCACCTCTTTCATTTACCTAAATTTAAAGAAAATGTTATCTGTCACTAAAGAATACTTTATATTTCACTTCATTCTATTAAGACTAAAGCATTTGTTGAGATACACGTATGGAATATCACCTACATCAGCCTGGCTTTTTTACAAATAGGTATACTTAACACCAGAAAAACATCCATTGTCACCTATAATTGACTCCTTCCCATAGCATAACAAGACTGGACATCCTTCAGGTCATACAATAAATTGGTCTGCAATAATGCTACTCCACAGTTTGTTGCCACACTCAGCTTTTGTCTGACCAACAACTGTACAAACCAAAGTTTAGTTTCACTCCTCCTTTGCTCCAATCCTTCCTGTGTCCTTCTGTGATATTGCACTACTGGCTGTCTCTGTGGCTTAAGAAATAACTCACGATCAACCCATTGTTCTGGATTCACACATAACAACAATCCCCAGTTTAAACATCCACAGTTCATAATTCAACAAGCTGGCCCAATCACCACAGTTTAACCAAGGCACAGTTGCTTATTCAAGCTGCAACCAAGCTGCCTAACTATTTGCTGGGCACACAGTTTGTCATGTAGTCCAAGCCCAGGTAACATGGCTAGTTTGATGGGGAAACAGCCCTCAAATAACTCATGGCATAAGCTGTGAACTTGTTCAGGCCGTGATGATTGTGCAAACTGAATTACTAAGAAACTATTTGCCCAACAACCCATAGTGAGGCTACCGTACATACCATTTAGCATATGCAACACTTGCTTGCAAGTTGTCATGATCTGCAAACCTGGTAAGCGTGGGTTATGTGAGGGTTAAAGAACCTGCGAGCAAAGCTATTTGAAAAATTGGGTTCTACCTGGACCTTATTAGCTTCACAGCTACTTAGAAAACATCACTGAAATGTTATAACAGAAGTTAACCACGTGTACTCAAATTCATACCCTGAGTGACCTCTCCAGATTTGACTTTGTCCTTGGTATTCTGTAACAAAATACTGTTTAAGTCAGCTAGTACTTCACGAAATAAATTTTGACCTTATTTGAGAAACTGACACAACCCTTCAATGAGTAGTTTGGCAGAGCTAATGCACCATTTGATTCCTAATTTATGTTAAAACAAAGTATGGGCTTCGATTTCTCATCATCTGAACAAAATGAGATGCTTCATTCAATTACAAGTAGACGACTGCCAAACAACCAAGGAAGGCATTGAAAAGTAACATTTGAAGATAGATGGGACTTTTTAGTGAAGGATGGTATATAAAAGCCACAAATAAATATCCTGTTAAAGTCAATTAAATTAACGATGTATTATACCTGACAGTGTACACCACAGACAAAGAATAAAAACAGCCCAGACATACCCTATGCAAAATTTCCAAAACCTTGAGAGAACTGTGTAGACAGCTAGTAAAGATTCTTTGTTCTGAAGCAGGGATGCCCATCTTGTACAATTTCAGAAGGTGGACTACAACATCTTTGTAAAGTTCCACTATATTGAGGAATAAGGGAGGCTCCAATACAGACCACCAATTCTCTATAAATAAAATGGGGAAACACATGTAGCTGATAAAAGCACCAGAGTACTGGCTTTGTACATAGTATCTATAACCTCAGTTCATCAATCATTAAGCACAAAATCAGGTCAAATATTCATCCACACGACATACATACAGCTTCACTACGTTCAAGTTCTTTTGCCTGAAAAGTAAAGAAATATAAGCAACTTCTGCTTATATAAGTTCTACAGTTAAATTTCCCAATGCAAAGTCTGACCTCTACAGAGTGGCATGCTGTGAGAAATGGAAATAGCAAGAAACTCTGATGCTTGGAAACCATTTTATTAATCATAAATACAAAAATAAAAGCTAATAAATGCAAATGTTAGCTTCATTAGAGATAAACCAGACCAAACATTAGGAAGCTCTGTCATTTCTATAGCCTGGCAGTATTTCTCACATAAATATGCAAGAATATTCATGCAACAATAGTTCCCTTTAGTAGAGCAATGAACAGAAGATGAAAGCTGATTGCAAAAAGGTTGACTTATCATATATGAAAGCTTCTGTGCCTTTGCAGCCCATTAACACATACAAATTCATAATTACATGGCTAAACGAAACAAACCTTACCAAGTACTTTCAGTGGAGCCTTTTCTAGATTCACAGTAGCAGTTGCAAATGGAATAGCTAGTGTCATGTAATTGTTTGCATCACTCATTAGTGGGCATTCTGGGAGGGTTAGAAAAAGTCTTAGGGCTTCAACATCAGGCAGGGAACTAGTCAGTTTAGGTATAAGGTTCTTCTCCAAACTAGCTGCCACCTGGGAATGGATATAGATTCAGTTTTAAATTAAAAGCACTTCCTATGAGAATAGAATAATACTGTATCTTTTAGAAAAGCAGGTGCATAATTGGCTTACAATTAAAACAAAATAAAACAAACTTAACTCATTAAAAATACCTAAACCCAACCCCTCATTATTATAATTATTACTATATTACTATTATATCCATTTATATACCACTCAATAGCCAATAAAAACATACAATAAAATATCATAAAAACCTTTCCAAAATACATAAATTCAAAACAATTAAAACTGCACGCAACAATAAGCATTATTACAGTAGATGTTTTTTGAACTCATGATATTTTTGTTCAAAAGAAGGGGGAAGTGAGATGCCATTTCCTGCATTCACTTTGGAACTGTTCAGGTATATGATCCTTTTGCAGTAGTATTCTGAATGGGATTAATGACGTGACCAGTTGCTCACTACCATGAAAACCTAAAATGAAATAATTGTGTTTCCTTAAAAATCTGGTTAATAATAGGGAGGGAGCCCAGGGCGCCAAGCCCAGGGAACCTGATGGATTTCCATCCCCAGACAGACTCCTCACACATCTCTAGCTGGGACTCAAGTATCCCACAGATAGGCACACTGGCACTCGCCTCCAAGATTCCACCACTTCTTCAGGAACATGCTAAAGTATGAGCCACTCTATTGAAAGCTGTCACAGGTAATGATTTGTTTTTCAAGTGTAATTTAGAAAGGGTGAAAAATACTTTTTTTGACAGGAAAGTATGTAAGTATGTAGACTCTGAAGTTTGGATGCAATAAGCCATTCTGTTTTAATCATGGTTTGCTGAAGAAGCCAGAATCCTACCTACATTTGATTTGTCTTGCTCTGTTTTGTTATTGACCTCTCCACCGCCTCTAAGAACGTCCTGCTGCTTTCCCAAAGGTCTTTACTGCAGTTCTCAGCAAAGAAGCTATCACTAGTTCTCTTGCCATTGGCGGGCTGCAGAAAGGGTGAGGTTAACTTCCCCCTCACAGCTCTTTAGCAGTTCTCAATTCCAGAGAAAAACACAGTCTTAACGATTCTCTAATGCACTCTTTCCTCTCAAACCTACCAAACAAAAGTCCTTCTGCTAAGGCCATAGGTTCTTTTTCCTCCTGAAACTTCATGGTAAGCCAGAAGAATAAGTGCTAGCGATAACTTAGGATAAAGGATGGATTGTTGCAAAAACAATTTAGCAGAGAGCGAGAGGGAGACAGTAGTACTGGTTGAGGAAAAGCATTTTGTCTTACATCAAAAATGTAACTGTAGCAATGACACTGTTGACACAGCATACTGGGAGCAAATGCATACTCTGACTCATGTCTCTTATTAGATGCAGGTAAAACATTTAGTTCCTTACATTTCTTTTCTTTGCAAAGCTTCTACAGAACCAGGCAGCTATGCTGGAATAGAAGCATTTATGAGTGAGGATGTGTGTGGGATGACATGGAAAATCTAATGCAATGCCTCCTATACTGGGGCACAATCCTGTGCCTGTTATCCCTCAAATTTAGAGGCTTACAATCTACGAAGAGCAGCAAGCTTACACAGCCATCGTATGCATCTCCCATCCTGCATATTATGCAAGGTGGGCTTTTTTGCCCATCGTTTCAGAAAAGGAGGCAAGCTAGCTTGAGAGACTTCAGGAGAACTCCTATCTTAGGCTCTCCAGTCTCCTCAGCTTTCCAGCCACCAGAATATTCTCTCTTCTCCCTCTCCAATTTGCTTTCCTGACCTCAGAGAACAGCCCGTGACATTCCTTCTGTGCCAGCTGCAAAGGGGGAGGAGGTCAGAGCTCTGATTCACATCATTGAGGTCAGAAAAATGCCTCTGATCTCAGGTCTGCCAATTAAAAATATTCTATGGCTCCTCAAATGCTGTCTAGAGTTCATAAGCCTTCTTCTTCTACTACACATGCAATTTCAATGTTTGTCCATTCTTCCCTCACATCTTTGTAGCCAAACAGGCAGTGGTGTAGAAACTAGGATTAAGCCAGAATTTCAAGTTCCAGTATAACTGCAAGTCATAGTTAATGCAAGTGGAAATCATTGGTTTTGGCCGCAAAGCATAGTCAGATATCTGAACATTCAGACAAGCCAAAGTTCAATGAAATAATCTGTAGTTTAGTGTTGTATCTGAACATAGCTACTGCAAAAAATAAATACTCTAAAGTACATTTTTAATTACAAAGGTTGGACAACTCTGTGAAGATGTCCTGGAACTACTGTTTTAATTATTTCTTTAAAAAGTAAGGGTCAGAGATAAAATTATTGTATTAGAAACCAACTTAGAGTAAAAACTACTACCAATTGATTAATATACTATAGCATTCAGATTGGGGAAGGAAGAAGGTAAATCAGAATCTACTGGATGCAACCTGAAAGTCTATGCCACGGTTGGCATGTTTATCACTTATATTTCATCCTGAATGCTCTTCACTTGTTAAAAACGGGGGGGGGGAGGGGAGAGAATTATTTACTTACTTATTAGATTTATTATTCCACTTTTTTCTTTCAACAAACTCAAAGCAGCTCACATTGTTCCCCTCCTGCTGCTTTCAAGGGCTGAGTGTCTGTGACTGGCCCAAGGTCACCCAGTTGGCTCCAAGGCCAAGCGGGGACTAGAACCCGAGTCCCAGGCCAACGCCCTTAACTGCTACACTAGCTTTAATGGCCATTTCAAGAGTTTTGTATTAAAATCACTGATCTAAAGGATCTCTGATACAGATTTGCACTTCTGTACAGGTGTATAGTTCATGAACTGCAGCAAGCAATTGATTTTGCTGTCCACACCCAGCCATCCACCTTTTCGCTACTGGCTTAAAAAAAAGTAGACTTCACAAGCCTGAGATCTGCCCGAGTTAAGTCATAATGGAACAGAGACTAGATTCAAGATGAATTTTCAGAACAAACCTGTTGAGATATATGAGGATGCTCTGACTGTATAAGTTTGTGAAACAGAAGTCGAGCAGCGTTCATATCAACCCCTGAGAATCTGGCACTAGTTCTGTAGTGATCGTCATTGCTATGAAAAAGAGAGAAAAAGGAAATTCAGTTTTCATTGCCTGTTGTCGACACTTTTAACTTGATATGCAGTTGTTGAATCATTTCAAAACTACTCACACAATTATGTAGCAAGTTTAAAATGTGACACATTAACCACTGACCTGACAGCTAAAAAGCTTCCATTCAGACTGCCAGATGAAGAAAATGTTCCATCTATTTCACTATTAAAAGAAAACATTAAAAAATTAATCCACATATATACAATACAATACTTTAAAAGTTTTTAATAGTTTCTGGTGGCATTCTATTTGGCTAATAACAGTTATTCTAATATCATTAGATGAAATTGGACATGCAAGATAATTCACAAGATATTTTTTAACTCATTAGGAAAAGATGTCTCTAAGTTATGTTAAAATACAATATGTGTGATCAACACTGAAACCAAAAGTACTAGGAAGCACTACATAAATTAGTCCTGCAACTTATATTTTTTATATTTATAGTCGATCTTTTTCCAGTAACTTAAGACAGCTTACACAATCTTCCTCCTCCTCTCAATCTTATCCTCTCAACAACCCTGTGAGATAGCTTAGGCTATAACTGGTCCAATAACTAGTCCAAAATCACCCAGTGAGCTCTGTGTCCAAGTGGGGACTAGAGCCCAGATCTTCCAGATCAACATCCAAATGGCATAATTGAGAACGCATTCAAAGTAAATGTCCCAAGCTGGAAGAAAATCTCTTAATGACCTGATCATATTTCCTAGTTACTTCAAGAGACATTATCATGTGTACTTTGACGACAGCGATCAAGGTACACATAGGTCCAAACTGAACATAAAGTTTAACACTACATGCAGCAGCTTGAATGAACCCAAGCAAAATTCAGACCCTCACAAGCACAAAACTCATGATACCTCCTCCCAGTAGGAGACCGGTGGGCCTCATGCATCCCCTGTCCTCTCCTGCAGGCTCCATTATCATACCATCATATTTCCCCTGCCACACTGAAGCAAATACTAAAAATTGGCAGTTTTTTTGTTTTGCCACTGCCATGCCACAAAACTTCAGCAGCACAGAAGAAGTTCAGCCTGCGTGAGTTCAGGGGATGTTCTTGTTCAAAAGTGGTCACCAGATCGCAGCTTCCCAGCTGTACAGAGGAGCATGGTTTAGCACAGTCTTGCCCAGCCTGGAGCCCCTTGGCTGTGCTGGACTACAGTCTCAGCATTCCTAACCATTAGCCTTGCCGTCTGGAACAGAGGCATAGGATGGTCTAAAGCATCAAGTGGGCACCAGCCTGGGGAAGTCTGGTTTAGCATGACGTGCAAACCAGACCATACTATTCAGCATGATGCACCTTATGAAAACAATTCTAACAATTCTCAAATATAAGAACACAAAGCATAATATATTCTCATTTTTCCAGTCTTTTTAAGAAGGCTGCAGTGAAATAGTCCAGAAATTACTCAAATGAAGAAGATACATTGTGCATCCAAGACCCTACAGATATCAGTAGCTAACCATTATTTCTAATACCCCCAAAATCAAGGCTCGTTCATTTTCTGCACAGCAAGTGATGAAGTATTTACAAGAAAGTATCAGTGGCAATGCCTAATCAATCCGGATAATGCTGCCACGACCAAGCAGAAACAGCAGCCTGGTACCATTTTGAAACAGGCATCTTCTCTCACAAGATTTAACCTGTTACATACAACTAACTGTTTTTTTTTTTTATTCTCCTGTGGTAGAATAAACCAGATACTTTCTCCATTTGTCTCCAAAATGAAAATGCCACTGGCAATCTGAATGTCACTAGTAATCTAGCAACTACAGCTATGGACCTGATCTTCACAAAAATCACATGGTCTTCACTAGTACCTCCTATTATTACCATATTTTTTTAATTCCCTTCAGCAGGAAAGAAGACAGAAATTGGATCAGTACCTTCAGCTCTGTGGTAAACAAGCTTCTGAGCAGGTCACTGTGCTGACCTCAGAAACAGTTTTTCCTTTTGTATGCTTCTAAATAGCCTGAAGTGCCTGATCCTGCCTAATCTTGGAAGCTAAGCAGGGTCGGAACTGCTTGAAATCTGGATGTATGACTTATAATGTTGTGAAGCACCCAGAGCTTCAGCTATGGGCGGTATAGAAATGTAATGTAACTGTAACAACAACAACAACAATTTTGTGAGAAACCCAAGGTGGCTTACATAGCTCCATTTTATCCACATAACAATCCTGTGAAGTAGGCTGGGCTGAGAGGCAGTGACTAACCCAAAGTCACCCAGTGAGCTTCATGGCCAAGTGGAGACCCAGATCTCCCACCATCACACCACTAAGCACAGTAGGCCCTTCAAGAATGACCAGTTCATTTTTAGGATACAATGAAAAGTAACCGCAATAGCCACAACTCCTACTTTGCTATCTCTGCAGGGAGCCTCCCTGCTCCTGAAGATGAGCAGTTCAGCAATCTCTGAATGAAGCCCTCATTCACAGTCCATATTTGCCTTGAAGCATAAGGGTATCTGAAGTCATCCGCTGGTACTGAATCCTATATTTCAATGGCAAAATACACAGAAATAAATATCCCCCCTTTTTTTTGGTTAACCAGGTCTAATTTCCACTCCTTAAGATCTTGCATATGTTATTCATCTTTATTCTCTAAGTCACTCACATTTTGACTTGTTGCCAAATTTTGCTTATCAACTTGTTCAGTATAGCAAATATTCACGCAATTCAGATGATTTTTATATTATCAGACGAAGTTGAGACAAAACATTTTTAACCTTTAAACTGTAATATTTTAAATTTACAGCTCTATGCTAATCAGAGTTCAAAATACAAAACAGCCCCAATGTTTTCTTGAACACAAGTAGTTGACCAAAATTCAACCATTCAGTTCAACAGGAACTGGATACACATCTACATTAGCAACACACATGGATTAGGGCATGTCGGAAAAAAACATTCTGTACCAGTTATACTTTGGAATTAAAAGCTGAGCAGACATTTTTATAACTGTTAGTGTAACAACAGACCACAATCCCAAAGGAAACCAACAAGTTCCATGTAATAAATTGGTAATTCAGATCTAGAGTGCAGTCTATAAAGCTTTCAATTTGTGTGGATTCATATATCTACTTTATAGCTTTTTCTAACCTGAACTGAGAATTGCCTCAGTTCACAGAAATGTAAATATATCTCCACATCCATCCCTAAAGCCTCCTTAATTAGTGAAGGAAAGAGCAAACAGTTTGCAATTAGAAGCCCACTGTCTGGAACTTTCAAGTAAATGCATCATGTTTTAATATCCAGCATAATAGAAATGTGAGGTTCATGGGAAAATAATATAATGTTCAAAATGTTAAGCATAAACTTCATTCTTTAAAACTGATAAAACAAAATTCTAATGTTGTCCCTGACCACCCACCTCTATATAGAATCTACCAAAAAGGACAAGGGAATTATGATGACTACAAACTAGTTTAAGAGTAATTTCATGAAGCCTGATGGACATTAGAAGAATGACCATCTCATGGTCCTATCCTTGCCTTTCCAAATGGCACAGTGATTAGACAACAGTTGGTAAAATGTACCCTATGATTTTAAGGTAGATCTATCAGTTGATCAACATTAAGAGAAAGAAAGCAAGGCACTATTTGTGAAGATATGCAATCTTTCTTTTCAATGAAGAATAAAAAAGGAAGCCTTGTGCAGAGACAAGGTTTGGTTCTGTTCACTTTAGAAGGAAGCCCAGGATGTCTTGGGAAACACCAGAAATGACCCAAAGGGGCCTCATCCAGCCTGAGTTTCAGCCAAATCTGATACTCATTCCTAAGAAAGGGTACATCAGTAAACCAAATAGAGAGTGGCGCTAACTTAAAGTCCATTCTGACAACTTAAGTAGTACTATACTAAGTGAACAAAACCAACTCATGGATATTAAAAATGAGATGAAGTACCTGTGGAGTAACATAATGTGAAAAGCTTTGGTCTCCACCAGAGAAAATTCTTTTTACACAGTAATATTCTTCACCATCTATAATTGAAAGAATGTTTTACCATTACAAGAGTAACCTGAATGGAATAACACATAGGAATTATTCCTTTATTTAAGTATGAACAGCATTATTTTGAGAAAAGTCATTTCTGCAAGAACAACATCACCTAACTCACTCTGCTAAGAACATATCTGTACATCAGCACATAACAGCACAAATAGCAGTCTACTATTTTGTGTTACATGTCCAGACCCAATGACATCAGCAAAAAAACTAAAGTACCCTTGTATAGAAAATGCAACAAGATCAGGTAACACAGATGTGCTAACAATGAACCCAACCCATAACCCAAGATCCCTAATTCTTTACACCATAACAAATGCCAGACAAATATAGAACTGAACTACACATGCAGTTACCTGACTTTAATGGTAATCGTCCATCATAAGGAAGCCAGTTTCCTTTCACTGGGAAGGGGCTTTTCCTGTTACTAGTTGATCCCATACCTAACTGTCCATTACCTCCAAGACCAAAAGAATAAATTCTTCCAGTTGAAGGAACAAATGCAGACGTGTGCTGCCTAGGACAAAAGAACAGAAATTCAAAATGCAATAAATGGAACATTCAAAAATGTCCTACAAAGGGTTATGCAAACTAAAGTTTTAAGTATTACTTAAACTCATAGGGACTTAAAGTTCCCTTGACCCCAAGAAAACAGACCAGTTTGCATATTATAACAGTAAATTGTGGACTGATTATGCAAATTCACAGTAGCATGTACCCAGTGGGTGTTACCACTATTTGATTATGCTAGTTCTGATCGGAAGTTCTTCTATAACCTGGGCACTAGGGGTTAATCATAGGTTTAATAATCCAAAATTAACCTAACATCTAATCCATAATTACTCCATAGAATCAAGATTCACATGCCAAAGATCAACCACCAATTGGAAGTTGCACATTCAAAACTGCAGTGGCACACAGTCCAGTTAATTAACCCTCAATTTGCTGTCCTTATGGGGACACTTGATCATTTTATAAGCAACCATCCGGATATAAGAAGAAAGATGGCAGGAGGGTATGATTTCTATCACCTAGCCAGCTGAATCTATACAGCATCAATGGATGTATAGAAGAAAGCTTCTAAAATGACTGGATGCCATTTATCTCCTCTTTCTTTCCTAGATGTGCAATGTGTGGGGAAGCAACTGTGGAGACAGACAAAAGACAGCTGCAGTGTTCTGTTAAGAAATATAGTAACAAAGAATTATATGGCCTCTTAAGAGAGAGGAGCTTGCAATTCAGTGGGACAGAAGGCTATTGAGCCTGCAGAACTGCCTTAATGCCAATGCATTTAAGTTATCCACTGGGCTCTATGAATCACTGTGTTGTATACAGTACAGCAGCCTTTTCTTTACTTGGGTCCCCAACAAGATTTCCATTTAATTTTTATTTAGCTTGATTTTTATATACTGCCCCACTTCCACAGCCTCCTGTGAGAGTTAGCTGCTGCTACTCCCTTATGAGTGCTACAGAAATGCTTCAAGAGGCACATTTGGGCTCTTTAGAGACCAGCTTTATGTTATACTGTTATTTTTATTTACTGTAAGCAAAACCAGCAAATGAACCTTGGAAAAAATGCTTCAGGGCTGTTTAACTTGGATACACTACATTGTACTTTCCTATCATTTTATTTATTTATTTAAACCTTTCATATACTGTCCCATCACAGATGTCTCGGGATGGTTCACAATTATTCTATCATTCTCACAGCTTGAACGTCAAACAGACATCCACATTTGTTATGATCTAAACATGTTCATTAGATGCCATACTTTAATTCATCAACCAAATATAAGCAGGGAGAAAAAAAGGACAAGCAGGAGCAGAGGGGACTGCTTTAAGGAGAACCTTCTCTATAGCTCTAACCCTCCAGCCATGGTCATTTCACTGCCTTTCCCACTCATGAAGAACCGTTCCAAGAGCCCAAGGGCTTTATTTTGAACTGGTAAATCATAACCAGAGTCATAGCAAATAATACTGAGGAAACAATTAAGATTTTAAACTAAATGACAACTCTGAAACTAACTATACAGAAGTACATGCTTTTTAAGGCCACTATAGAAAAAAGGATAGTAATATTTATTCATTTTACCTCTCATAGAACAGGATGCCAAACTTTCCTCCTTTTGTTTATGAGCACTTTTCAAATACAGTACATTATTTAAATAAAATAACAAGAATAAAAATTAGTACCAGAGGTTGAGACAGTGCTGTTCCATTCAAAGAAATCTGAAAACTTTGGGGGTCATGAGGTTTAATTTACTGTCAAACCCACATAGCAGGGGCAGCCAAACCAGGGCTCAGGAACACATGCAGCTCGCTCACAGCTTGCCACCCACAGCCACTGCCTGCAGGCACCTGCTTGCGGGTCTTAAATATCTGACATTTACCTTATGTGGCTCTTCCTTTGAGCAAGTCTGGCCACCCCACCATGTAGCAATTTGCACTCTTAATAGCCATACCTAAACACACTAGAACAGGTTTGTTTCCTTGCTTGCTTGTTTGAACAAATTGTAATTTATCATACACAGGCCAGATCCTGACACCCAAATATACATGTCAACTTTGAACCCACTAATCACATTTTTGGGGGAGACTTAATCATCCTTCTCACCTCTCAGGCTGAATACAGCAAACAAACTCAAGCATAAAACAAAGGCCCAGATCAAGTCCCAGGGGTGGGGGGGAAGCATTGCATTCATTTGCATGTTTACCCCCACTTGAGCAGGAGAACCGCAAGAGAAGCCAGCTTTTTGTTTACAGATTGAATGGACTGGAATGGATTGGATTAGAAAAACACAATGTATCAGAAAAACAAGTTATATTCTCCAAAGCCTATTCTACAACAAGGCAAGTACAGATCTTGCTATTTTCCAGCTGTCGAACAAATAATTTTACAGTTCAATTCTAAGACAGATCTTACCTTCCACAGGCAATTTGTGTGACGATGTTTCCCATAAGTTCAAAAACTTTTCTTGGGTTTATCTCATGGCCAGTAGAGTTATGACCTAATTGCCCATAGCCTCCAGCTCCAAAAGTAAATACGCCACCTTCCTAAAAAATATTAATGACACCAGTCGTATTTATATACAGACTGTTGGGCAGGGGGAGGGCCTAAATACCTGCTCAACATGTATTTTATTTAAAAAAATCATTTCTTAAAGAATACTGATCTTCATAGATATGTACTGCAGAGACTAAACAGCACATTCCTTCAGTGCTCTAACAGTAAAAAGGATTTGAGAAATTTATTTTTAAAAGCCATGACTGCAAGTCAAAGATTGATTTAAGAAAATGAAATTAGAATGGTGCAGTCCCTTACCACATCCTCCCTGCATCTCATCTCCAGGATGGTGTCCATGTTATGAAGGGACAATATAATGGGTGTTTAAGTCTACACCTGTAGGCCATAAATAGACCTACATCCTTGAGATAAGTGAATTCTTATTTAAAATCAAGCAACAACAAAAGCTGTCCCCAGTAATCAGTAATACCAAACTGAAAGGTAAGAGCTACTATAAAGTGTTATACATTAACCTATAGCAAGATTACTATTTTCATTTTCATATTTATATCAAGAATGCCTTGGAAGAGCTGCAGAAGACCCATTGTTAAAATAGGCAATACATTTCTCTGCTTTATTAACTGATATAGCAGTTCAGCTTTGACAAGAAAGCTTCCATTTATAGATATTGTAATGCAGACTACATCTTATGTACTGAGAAAAGCAAGCAAATGATTTTAACCCAAGACAAATGTATTTTATGTTTACAAATAAATTCAAGAATATTACATGTTTACCAAGAGCCACTTATAGAAAGCAAAATAAGTGGCATTAAATTAACAAACACAAAATAATAAACTGTGCTTTGGTCTCAGCAAAAAATGATATCCATCAGCTTCTCATATGGCTATTGGAACTATGCTGCATGCAAAGAAATCTTTCTGACATAGGCTTATAAAGTCTTTAAGTGGTATAACCACATGTTCCTTTTTTCCCCTCCTCATCAGGTGACAACCAATTTAGGATCACATTTACCCATTTTCACAGAGACAGTGTATCTACACTTATGCTACACCTGCTTCACCCACCCCCACAACTCATGTAAATGTTGTGAGCAGACCAGTTCAACACTGAGGTTCAACTTGGCCATGGGTGTCACCCAAATGGGTGTTTCTCTGTGTAGAGAGGGAAAAACAACAAATTGGTTCTCAGATGATGACTCAACTATGAAAGACAGAGACAGAAAGAAAGAGATGCTTTCATAGCCCAAGGTGGGCTCATTCATAGCCCAATGCCGGGCAACCTACCTAGAAAGAACAGATCAACTAAAGAACAATGGTGACTGGAATGCCTTAATCTCTACCTTCCCTGAAGAGCTACTCAGGCTGACAAAATAGCAGTTGTATTATGGCACAGAAGGTAGCTTGATTCCTTTCAGCAGCAACTCTAGTATTACTGCTAAAGCCTGCAGTACTAAAGCGTTCAGAGGCGGCCTGTGCAAAACTATTAAGATCTGCCACGTCCGCTACCACCCATCCTGATCCAAAGGCTGAAACAAAAAGGAGGACAGCCTATTTTACCTTTGTAAGAGTTGCAGTATGATCTTCTCCACAGGAGATGTAAACAATTTTCTGGGATCTAAGTGATTTTAGAAGATTGGGAACATATCTGTCTGAAAATAGTAATAATTCAGCAAGCATAAAATACATTTTGTAGCAAACTGCATGAAAGATTATTTTAAAATAGCTACAGATCTAGTTTTTAAATATTACTAGATTACTTTAAGTATTTTCAAATTGTTTAAAAACTATTTCAACACTTTCAGTGTTATATTGCCAGAGAAGGAAACCATAGTGTAGCACAACAATCCCACATAGTGTAGTGGGATTGCATATTGAACTATATAATACAGTTCACTTACTAAACCGAAAGTGTCATTATGTCTTACAATTAAAGCATGCACTACAGTGCATTTTCCCCCAGTGGTTCACTGGGGTTCCCACCGACCACATAAATAGTTTGAGCATCAGCAAACAAAGGAATATCATTTGGGGGATGTTGTTTTTGACTGTGTGTCTATGTGTTTTACCAAAAAAAAAAAAAAAAGCAGACCTTTTAACATAAAAAAGGAAGAGGAAAGTAATTTAAATGTCATGTACTTACCATTTTCATCATTAAGACCGAGCTGACCAAATTTGTTACGGCCCCACCCAAAGACAGCTCCAGAAAGAGTAAGGGCAAAGCTATGTGCACCACCTGCTGCAATTTGTGCAAAAGGTATCCCTAGTAATGATTTGATCTGTTGTGGGGATGTCTGCTTTTTGAATTCATATCCTAAACCTAGTTGACCATGTTTATTCTGCCCCCATGAAAAAACTTCACTTCCTGTTGAGAAAAAATAAAGATGCACATTTTAGATGAGAAACCTTTATAAGAATGTGTTTATTTTATTATTCATTAGGTTTCTATCCTGCCTTCAAAAAAAATTTGCAAAGCAGCTTATATCATTCTGTTCATGCTGCTCTCAATCTTATCCCCACAACAACAACCCTGTGAGGTAGGCTGGGCTGAGACTGGACCAAAGTAATCCAGGTGGCTTCATGGCTGAATGGGGCTAGAGTTCCAGAACCATGATTATAATCACTATATCATGTGTGTTATTCTACAACTCAGATTATTCCATTATCTTACACCAGAAAATTCAATCAGCCCAATGATGTTTTAGCAGAAAGAGGAATACATTCAAAATTAAAGCACCAAAATAGTACTGTTGCATTTTGATATAACATGGCATATTTTAAATCTAAACCCATGGATGACTGGGGCATGCTGGGAGTTATAGGCCTTTTCTTTGTCTAAACATGCATTGAGCTAGACTCTTAGTGTGCTTTTATTGACAGTGCAGCATATTGTAAAATTACAGGAAAAAACAGACAGCCAAAAAAGAATGGTTACCTTTGGAGAGTGCAAGTGAATGATAGTAGCCACAGGCAACTTGAACTATTTGAATGTCTGACAAGCTTTTAATGTTTCTATGGAACAATAAGAAGTCATTAGATTAACAGGCTTTGTACAAAATGTTAAGCAAAAATTTCTTAAGGAAAAATAGAGAAATGCACCAAAGGTACTTCAAAACAATAATGCACTTGTAATGGGAAACCATGATTTCTCACTATGTGAACAACCCCAGCTTCTGCACTTGCCCCTCTTGTCTGCTCTTTCACATCTACAAGGAAATCAGAAGCTTTCACTTCCTGTTTTAAATAAATCAGCCCCTTGACAAACAAATGTACTGAATAGTGGTTTGTATTCTAGCCATGAAAACAAACCAAGATAAAGCTGCAGTTTCAGATAATGGTTTGTTCAGTAGCCAGAATGCAAGCACGTTACAATTATTGAATGTTGTGAGACACTGTTAGTTTAAATCTGGAATTTAAATTTTCCAACCTCTTCCTCCTGCACAAGAAAGAGAAAGAAAAGGCAGCAAACAAAACCAAAATTGCCTCATCCTGTTTTCATATTGGAAAATGATTGTTCAAGAAGAGACCTGATTAACATAATTACAAAACACAGGTAGGCAACATTTGCTAGGTCAAGATTAGACCTCTGCCTAGTCTAATCATCTACTAAAAAATACTGCTGAAATCAAATAAAGTAACATGTTAACAGTCAGGAATATTATGTTCTAAACATAATATTCTAAGTTGTGTGATGAAAAACATGTTGCTCTTACAACATACTTTATTCTTCGTAGTTACATACAAACTTTGGAGTACAACTATAGAATATATCAAATTGCAAACATATCCACTTTCTCTCTTGCACCTGTTCAAATCTGCATGAATTCAAGAGATTGTTTTACTCTCACACTGGTTGAAATTTCAGTGTAAGTTATTAAGCTATAAGCATGGTCTTAGGAAGGTAAAGACACCAGGGGTGTGATCCTATGTCCAGCACATGTTGGCCAGCCACAGGAAAAGTTGGAAGTCCCCACCGTGACTCTGTAAAAGTTTTCTGACTTCACAGCAAGGACTGCTACTTCTAAGCACCCTTCCTTTTCAGCTAGCAGAGTTTTTTCCACAGCAACTATGGCTCTGAATTGCCTGGGGGAAGGAAGGTGAGGTACCATAGAATTCAGGCAGTGCCTCAGTCCTTCCTCCTTTCAAGCAGGGTCAAAACACATAGATTCCAGAATCATCCTTTGCAAATGGCCTAAGTCATTCTTTGCACATCACTGCACACTCAATGCATAACCTTCTGAATTTGGTGGAGTATGGGCTGCCACACTAGAGGGCGTCCTAAGGGTACATACACATTTTAGACAAAAAACTTTCTACAACTCCTGACATCCCCTAGGATTTGTGGAGTTTTTTTCTAACTGAACTTGCATACTATTTAAGCATTTATACCTCTAATATAATTTAAGCAGTTATACCTCTTCATATATTCACTAAGGAATCCTCACAACAACCCAATAAAGTATGCTACTATTATTACCATGTTGCAAGCAATTTAGGGGTTAAGATTGAGACAGAGGGCTCTCTAACCCATCAGAATGTATGACTTGGAACAGAGATTGCATAACTCAATTCTAAGAGCGGGTAGTTGGTCAGTGCTCATTAGGCTGTACCAGTGAGAATGACTGTTAAAGCAACAGGAGGTGAGCTGTTCCCAGAGCAACCCAGAAAACTAATAGAAACTAGCATTTCCTGCATGAGGCAGGTCAGTGGATCTCCCTTCTTTAGTTCCACTGACTTGTTCCATTCCAGATATACTAGTTTGGTTTCATTTTCGGCTGTTCTAAAAAATGCTAGTTTCCCACTGCACAAGCAGGGTTTTTTTGCTAGCACATGGGCAGTTCTGGAAATTGCCCTTTATCATTACAACAGCTCTTAAGAATAAATAAGTTTAGACTATGTTGTACAAAATTAAGGCAAGAATTCCAAATGTGCACGAATGGAACAAAACCATTTTTTCCAGACCTAAAGGGAAGTTTTCTTCTCAGAGATGAAAACTGTAAAAGCCTAATTTTATAATTTACATTACCTGGGTACTCTGGTATATTCCTCAGTTCCCGGCAAGCCAAGCTGTCCATCTACAGCAAGACCCCAAGCATAGACTTGACCCTTGTCATTTAATGCTAATGTGTGGGCTTCTCCACATGAAACTGCTACAATATTTTGAGCATCCAAGGCACCAACCTGCTCTGTAATCATCAAGGGAAAAAGAGTGGCATCATTTTACTGCTCTCATTTGAACAGTTCCAGAATATTATGCACAACAGAAGCAGCAGAACATGTGCCTACAAACCTGTCAGGTATCCTTTAGATGAGATGAGAGACACTACAAGCCCCAAAGAGGGAACCCATGTGGCTATCTATACTAATAGGCATGGAGTTTCTGCTGTTTTACCTAACTGTGGACCAAATACAAGAATGACCTTTTGTTCACAGGAGAAATACTAGCTTTTAATTTTTTGTTGCAAGCCGCCCCGAGGCTTCGGTGAATGGGGCGGCATAAAAATGTTTTAATTAATAAATAAATAAATAAATAAATAAATAAATAAATAAATAAATAAATAAATAATGGTTTTAATCAGAAAAAATGGCACACGTTATTTTCTTTCTCTGTGCCACAATTTAATGATCTGGAAAACCCCACAACTGTTATTAAAGTAAAATGAATGGGAGATTCCAGATATGTATCTCCCGAATCATGTCTAGTTGTGCCCTAAAGCAAGTCACATTCGGTTGGTTAACAAAGCAATCCAAGAATTTCTAGAGGACACTCCTTTGTCTTTATGTAAACCATCCTGAGATCCTATATGGACTAAGGACAGTATATAAATAGTTGAAATCACGGGTCCTCAAACTACGGCCCGCAGGCCGCGTCTGGCCTGCCATGCCCATGTATCCGGCCCGCCTTTTGATTATGGGAACCCAGGGGCGGCCAGGCCGGGGCTGCACAGCCATTCCTGCACCTGCCACCGCCACCTCACCATGCCCACTGCCTCACATCGCCATGCCCGTCACCTCGCCTGCCACCTCGCCGGCTAGACAGGCACATGGTAGGCATGTCATGAGTGGGAGGCCCCTTCAGACACGAGAGGCCCCTTCTGACTCGGTCTGTTTCTATGTCGAGAATTCAGTTCATCATCTCCTGCTTCAAGCTGCATGTCAATAAGATTTCCAGGATATAAAGTACCACAACAGAAGTTGTACGCAAGATAAGCCATAGAGTCCTTGACAGGATTCTACAAATACGCTATTTTCTAAAACTCGAAGCTTCAAATATAATTTGAAAAATGAAATTTCAGAAAACTCTTTAAAAAGCATGTTCTTTTATCTACTCAGATACATCAAATTAACTATATGCATGCAAGCATGAGAAACTGGAACTCACACACAGAAGCAGAACGATAATTTCTACTATACAGTGCTTTTAAACTTACCTGGTCTTTTCCTGGATTTTTCATGTCCTAATTGTCCCAAATCATTGCATCCACATGTATATACAGTTCCATCATCCAAGACAAACACAGTGTGCCTTAGTCCACAGCCTACATCTCGGACCTTTTTGTTTAGGAAGAAGTTGCATCTTCTGGGTTCTAGGACTACCTCTTCATCAATGCCTCCCAATCCAAGCTGTCCAAAAGAGGCATTTCCCCAACATAACATTATGCCAGCACTCTCAATGATCTGCCAACTTCAGTGTTCAAAGATATTCAAGTATCACTGTTATGGGGAAGAGAATTAAGTTAGAATGAGAATACAGTAGGCATAGTATTTAGAACAGGATGGACACCTTTAAGTCTTCAATTATTGCAAGTGGCCCAAATCAAAACATTCAGATCTCATCATACAATGTCTACAGTTTTAAAACTGCAAAAATTTCTAATAATTTTGATTTCAAAAAATTATTTTACTAATAGGGTTAATAATTCATGATTTCAGGGTATTAGAAGCAGTGGCTTATTTCTTGACAGCTGAGGGTACTTGCTATGTTACTCTTGAAATTTAAAGGTACCATTTGAGCATTTTATTAGCTTAATAAATGGCAGTAAATGATGGTAAGGTAGATCTTCAAAATCGAAAAATAAGTTCTGTGCAAGTAACATGCACGCTTTCTTAACTAAACAGCTATTTTCAAATACAGTAGCTGAGTCACCTTCTATATTATTTGTAAATATATGCTAACACCTTAACAAAGCAACATCAGAATATTTGGTCGTCCATCCAGTAGGACCAATTCTTATAAGGCCTCTCCCTCTTTGCAGTATTCTAAACAAGGCCACTTTGGCTACTAATAGACTGGGACCCAGGGTACTAACCAGTATCTGCTAACTAACCAGGTGTAAGGCAGTATTATGTTAATAAAAATAATTGTTATTGTCATTATTTATACTACCTTTAGAGATAAAAACCTTCACAAGTCAGTAACCAAAAGTGTACAACAATACAATAGTAACTTTAATACAATTAACTAAAATTGCAGCATTAAAATCCCATTCTATCACAATGCAATAGAAAAAATAGCAGCATGTTAAAACCATTAAAATGCAGCATATGAAATATGGTCCAGAATCAATTAAGAAGTAAATTGAATCATCCAAGCCTTTAATACGTGTTTTAAAATTGTTAAGGAGTGATGAAGACACACACATATATACATTCTTTTTTTCACCACATGTACACATGGGAGGAAGCCACCACACCTAACAAAACATGTACCTGCAAGCATAAGGACCCAGGAGTCATCCAATTTCCGACACACAGTTACATACATATAAGAAGTTAAACTTATGTAAAATAGCCCTTTATTGAAAAAAATCATTAAAATCAATGGGGCATTTTTCTGTATAAACATGAAAGGTATACATCTATTTTTGTTGGAGATACAAAGCAGCTATCTCCCTTAACAGGCCAACCTAAAATCACTATGCATGCTAGATTGAAGGATAAGATTTTCCTCTTTTGCATGTTACACTATTAGATGGTCATTTAACTCCTGGGTCCATGAACTCTTGCATCGCTTTCATTTATTGTTTGTATTACAACTGTTAAAGTGTTAAAAGTGTTAATGAGCATTCCTTAATCCATAAAGAGTTTGATGTAAATCAGTAAGAAATTTATACTGATGAAACATTTTAGGAAAAGTGACCTGAATTGCTTAAAAATGGACTAATCCTATGATCCCCGGAGAGGTGTCCCAGAGACCACAGGGTATTTCAGAGACACACTGACAAGGTCTTATGACCTCAGAAGCAGGACTCTGAGATCCGATTCCTCCCTTGCCCACTTGCAGTAGCCACAGAAGGAATGGCAGCATGCTTCTGCAACTGCAAACAAGCAACAAGCAAGCAGCTCTGGGAGGATTAAAAGGGTGGGATGGTGGGCAAAGAAAGGAGAGACTCAGTAGCCTTCCAGGTATATTGGCCTGCAATTCCCATCATCCCTTACCATTAACTATTGTAGCCAAGACTGACAAAGGTCGTAGTCCAAAAGACCTGAAGCACCACAAGTGCATCTTAATATACACTCATGGCCTATTTCAGAGACAATGTAGTAATTGAGAAATCAATGCAGCCCTAAACTCCTTTCTTGGTGCTTACTGAGGTGCCTTACTCCTCCTGCTTATTTTCATTCTGCTTTTTTAAGAACAGTTTTTCTTACTAGTGGCCGAGATCACCTTAAAGCAAAGCGAAAACCATCAGATCCTGCCATGTTTTCCCCATAGCTGCATTTAGGCCACTTGTGGGGCTCAGAGACTTTCCTAGAAAATGAAAATGGTGGGCTACTGTAAGCAAATCTTTCCTGTTCAATGCACCCAGAGACCAAGAAGATATGGAAAAAGGAAAAAAGATTCCTACTGCTTCTTTTTGTTGAGCTTCAGATTGAAGGACTATAGAATGCAGCAAGAGGCCAGGGCGAAGAGCAGGAATTGCAAACCAACTGGGGGCAGGGAAGGTAGTAGAAGAGGGGTAGAGAAAGCAGCAGTAGCTGGAGAATCCAGGTGGAAGCAACCCGGGAGCTGGAGAGAGTTGTATGTTTTTATGTTAGAATGGATGGGGGCTGCATACATGTGGAGAAAGGAAAGGGAAACAGTTAAGAGTGATTCTGCAGGAAACCTGGAAAGGGTGATTGATTGTGTGTCTGCAAGGAGAAGGGAGGGGGGAGAGAGCGAGCAAGTGCTTATGTGTGCATAAATGTACATACATAAGAATGCATACTGTAGGATGTGTGTGCATATGCAAGAGAGACAAAGAATGTCAGTGGCTACTTAGTCAAAGCAGTGGAAGTTGATGGCAGATGTGGGGAAAGGAAAAAAAATCCTTCTAACCACTTCCACAGGTTTCAGCCGGGGCTGAAAATTGTTGGTTCAAAGGAGTTTAGTATGCTGGGGTTCATTTTCCACTTCTGCCTTGTGCTCAGTCTTTTGGACAGGTTATTGCCCTTTGCAACTAGCCACGCCTTCCATGACAACCATTTTGTAGTGGTAGCCAGGGCAATTTTTCAAATTGTCAAATGTGTCCACAGGGTTTATCTATTCCTGTTCTAACTAAATACAGCACTATTTAATTACAAACTTCATTCTTCAGTAACAGAAGATACTGCCAAAACAGAAATTCAATTTTTCTAGACATTTTGGAGACTTGGGAAACAATCCCACCTCTGATTTTGACACTTTCTCACCTCCCCGCCACATCATCATCTCTGAGCCTAACCAGAAAATAATTTTCAACACAATTCTAAGTGGTTTATTTGAATATTAAATCCCACTGAGTTCAGTGAGATATAGTCCTATACATAGGATTACACTCAGACTGAATGAAAAACAGAAAATGTTTTTTAGTGATAGAATGTAGTTAATTAACTATATCCTATCACATTCAAAAGACTTGAAAGATGGTTCTACCTTGAGCTTTAACATACTTATCGTATAGTAGCCTTCATGCATTCATGTCAGTGACTGCAAAGTCAGTGTCAACCTGTTATAAGAAGAAAAACACATAAAAATCCAAGTTTTTTTTTCCCCAATACCAAACAAATAATCTACAAATTAATGTTGCTACTGGAATAGCTTTTCAAAAGAAGTCCTAACTGGATGGAAAGGCATAATACATTTAAGACTATTTAGCAAGAAATATGCTAGAAAATGTAGATATCGATCTTTTTCAGAAAAACACTGGAGGAAACTATCCTAAAGTTCTAGGAAAAGATCGTTTTGCTTTCCAGATCCAAGGTGAGAGACAGTAATCCAGTCTTGGAGATGGAAACTGTAACTCTTTCCCCTGCCCCCTTGCAGCCAATGAAGAAAGGACTGCCCTGGTGGTTCCTCTTCAAGGTCAGAAAAGCAAGCTCAGAGAGGATTTGGATGTGGGGTGGGTCAGGCAGTGAGGAGATACAATAGGTAAGAATACAATGCATTCTGCAGCCACTCCAGCTGCCTTTCTTCTTCCTTCAAAACATTCCACCTAGACAGACAGAAAAGCCCATCTACCACAAAATGCTGGAGGTGGGAGGGATGGGGAAGCAAAGATCCCATCTACCACTCTACCATTCAATAAATGTCCATAAGCCTCCAATTTCAGGAATTTACAAGCATCACCACAGGGCTGCCCTCTTAAGGAATCTAATGGCTGAATCCTATCTGCAGAGCAACAAAATGTTTACACAGTCTCCAGTCTGCTGTGCCACACAAGGTAATTCAAGATGCTTCCAAGAGCTTCATTTTCTCTGACCTGCACTTCACTTAAGTACAGCCAACTACACACTACGGTTCTCGGCAAGCTTGGTCATATACCATTTCTAAGGTTCCCCGCATCCCTTGGAGACACATTTTAATATGGTGAGTGGGTTAAGAGTGCCAGAGAAATCAAGAGTATTGCTAGCAGGAGGGTGGCCTCTCACTGTCTCCTAACAGGGTCACCCAATGCAGGAGGGTCAAACCTAAGACACCAAAGAGGCATCCACCTTCAGGAGTAATGGTGACATCAGCAGAAGAGAGTGGCTATCTCTAATGGTGGCAGGGGCAGAGAAACTCCTGAAGGGCAGCAGCAGTAGTTGAAGGTGACACTGGTGGTAGATATTTCACAGACAATGACAGTGAAGTTCAGGCAGACTCTGGTTTGCACTGTGTAGAAGGCAATGGTAAACTACTTCTGAATATTTCTTCCCTTGAAAATCCTATGATGAGATAATCTAAAATGAAATGAGATAGTGACAGATGATGAGACTCTCAGATCAGAAGGCACTCAACTAACAACTGTGAAAGAGTAAAGGACAAGTACAAATAGCTAATGACACAACTAAATGCTAGTTAAGAGTAATCTGGGTTCTGTTCCCCACCCAGCCATGGCGCTAACTGGGTGACTTTAGGCCAGTCACAGACTTTCAGCCCAACCTAATCACAGGATTGTTGTTGTTAGGATAAGACTGAGAGGAGGAGGATAATTATATAAGCCACCTTGACTTTCTAGAAAGGGGAAAAAGTGGAATATATAATAAACAGATGCCAAAAGGAAACTCTGATGCTACATAACACATACAATTAGAACATGAAATGTGAGAAGTATGAATCCTGGCAAACTGGAAACCAGTAAACCATTTAAGAAAATGAATGCTTAAATATTGCAGTATTTGAAGTTATCACACTAAAGTGGACTCAAATGGGATATTTTAATCAGATAAGCACAACATTTTTTACTCTGGAAATGACAAAGACAAAATGGAGCGGCTTAATAATGAAGTATGATGCAACACAGGCAGTAAAGGGTAATAATGTAAAGTTTAACTAAATAATATCAATCAGAATTTTCAGAAAACCTATAAATCTAACCTTCATTCAAGTCTAGGCTCCAATAATAGATGCAGAAGAAAATACTGAAAATTTTTTGTAAGAGGAAACTGGTCATTATATTCTGACCATTATAGGTGACCACAAAGGTAGAAAACAAAGCAGAATCAAATGTAGGAAAAATTGGCTTGAAGAAGAAACAAAGAAAGGGAATTATTCATAGAATTTGGTGAAGCCAACAATAATCTGTTTGTTGCAAGTACATATTTATTATTTATTTATTTAAAACATTTATATGCCACCCAATTGTGCCACAGCACCTCAGGGAGGCTCACAACCATAAGATAAAAGTACAATGAAAACACAATAAAAACTAGTGACACATTAAAATATAAAGAATGCAAGCAAAAAATACAAAACAAAAGTCTATGGCATTAATTATTTTTAAAAAAAATTAAAAGGAAGGTCTTCACCTGATGCCGAAAAGAAAAGGAAGATGCCAGAAGAATCTGGGGAGAACATTCCAAATACGGGGAGCAGCTGCGGAAAAGCCCCTCCTCCTAGCAGCCATCCCTCTCCCCTCCTCAAGGGATGGCTCACACAGGAGGGCCCCCTGCATAGAACTCAAAGGCCAAGGAGGCACACAGGGATGCAGGCGCTCCCTATATACGTCAGGTAACTGATCAGAACACTCTACACATGAACATCACCAAACGGCCAATACAGAAATCAAACAGATTATGTAATAGGAGTTAGCAGATAAAGAAGCTGTATTCTCACTGCTAAAAGAGAGCAGATTCATGAGCACTTCATAGTAGGGACCATGCAGTATTAGTAGCAAAAAATCAGAAAACTGAAAAAGATTATTAACAGAAACACAGTGCCAAAATGTTATTTAAATAGCATTTCTGGGGAATATAAAGCCAATGTAAAGAGCAGATCATGAACCAGAGACATTATTAGGGAAATATGCAGAATGACAATTCCTGCAGCAAAAAGAAAAAGCCTAGATAGATGACAGAAGAAACACAATTGCTAAGGGTGGGCCAAAAGCAAAAGGTGAAAGAAATAGGGTTGAAATCCTGAATGAACCTTTCCAGTGATTATCACACAGACACATAAAGAACTATTACAATGGCCAGTGTAAAAAGAAAGAACAGAAGAACAAAAGAGGAAAAGCGAGAAGCCTCTTCTGGATGAGCCAATAAATAAAAGCGAAATTCCAATCTATATTAGGAATGCTGAAAGACCAAGAAGGGAACATGCTTTCTGACCAGGATAAAGATGGAAGCAATATAGAGAAAAACTGTAACAGAAGAGTTGAAAGGATAACAGACTTCTTCAAAGAAGAGTAAGAACCTGTAACATTAGAAAGTGAAGTGAAAGCTGTTCTGAAAGCACACAGAAGGAATAAAGCACATGGAGTTGATAACATACCAACAGAACTATTTCAAGCTGCAGAGACTGAATCAATCGAAATCCTAACAAGAATATGCCAACAAACATAGAAAACAAAACTGAAAACATCAATATATATCCCAATTACCAAGAAAGGAGATGCTAAGAAATGCTGCAACCATAGGACCATTGCATTAATTTCCCATGTAACCAAAGTTACACTCAAAGTGTAACAAAGAACTTTACCCTATATGGAACAAAACTGTCCAATGTTCAAGCTGACTTCCAAAAAGGAAAAGGGAACAAATAAGTGTAGGCTTCTGCAGCACATTTGCAAAGCATTTCAGAAGATGATCAGTTATAGGCTACAGTAAGGCCTTTGACTGTGTGGATCACTGGGTGTGCCTCTGCCCGTGCTATGTGTAACTTCTACCTAAGCTTGTGTTAGGACAGAGTTTGGAAAAACAGAATGATTCCCTCCAGGCAAAAGCATCAGACAAGGGTGTATCAATCTGAAAGCAGAACATTAAGGAAAGCCGGAATAGGATCAGAGAAAGTAGGAGTGATATGCAGGTGATATCATATTACAGTCAAACAGCAACAATGAACTGAAAAGACTTCTGCTGAAAGTGAAAGAAAAAGGTGCAAAAGCAAGACTTCAGCTGAATATGAAGGAAACAAAAATCATGGCCACAGAAGAATTATACAACTTTAATGTCAACAGTGAACAAATTAAAGTTGTAAAGAATTTGCATACCTTGGGTCAATCAACAATTCAAAGGGAGACTTGGAAGGGTAGCAAAGAAGGAACTAATAAAATCATCAAGTATAAGGGCATTGCACTGAAGACCTTGGATGAGAAAAGCACACAATGAGAAAAGTTGACAGGAAGAACAATTCTGAAGTTGAAACATGGTGCTGGAGGACAGCTTTATGAAACTCTGCACTGACAGAAAGACAACAAGATCAAATTGAACCAGAACTTTTGTGAAAGCAAAATTGATGAAACTGAGGCTATTATACATCGGGCACATCATGAGAAAGCAAAACTCAATGGAAAAGAAAATGATGTTAGGGAATGCTGGAGGAGGACAGGAAGGACATGGGATGGATCAATTCCATAAGGGAAGTCACAGCCATGACTTTACAAGAACTGAGCAGGGCTGACAAGCACAGGTCACTTTTAAGGGCATTAATTCACAATGTCATAAGTCAGCAATGACTAGACAGGGGATATCAACAAGGTTCTACACAATGTGTAATTTAAAAAAAAAATTCTTCATCATACCCCAGCAAGAAATATAGTTTTTCAGCACAATTATTGAGAAACCATTAACTTCATTTAAGCAACACAAAATGAACTGGAGTAAAACAATAGGCTACTGTCAGTACAGTAGATTTTATCCCTATCTGGGGAGTGGAAACAAAAGATTGCTCATGTTACTGCATTACTTAAGATAGAAGACAGAAAAAACTAGCTGAATGTTCAGCTTTGGATTTTGCATTGCATTTCCAAATTGTAATAAATGTGGTAATAAGTAAAGGTATTTATTAGGGGGAAAAATCCCTTGCATCGAGAATCTTCTGTAATTAAACATGTGTGATAATGCAGTAATAGGGAAGCCTATTAACTAGATCAACGATTTCATCCACATGACAAACATGAAAAGATTGATCAGTTACTGGAGTGAATACATGTCAATCAACTTTCTCTTTGTTCATTAACCAGGGGTGGTTTTGTATTGCTGTACTACAATATAGCTATCTGTGGCTGCAATTATATGCAAGTTTACTTGGGAATAAAACTCATGGCAACTTACTTAAGAATAGGCAGGCAAAGAATAAAACTGTTAAATCTGCAGTCCTATAAACATTTATCCAGGAGCAAGCCTAATTTAAAATAATGGGACTAATGCCTGGTAGACATGCAAAAGATTGCACTGTAAAACATTGATCAGGCTTCAATACTTTAAAAAAATGAATCTCTTAATTAAAAAAGGACTGGGTAGGAATAAGTCTGGTAATAGCCCTGATCCATTTAGATCACTTGTGGTATGTTTTAGTTATACACCCAGATCTACTGTATAAACCTAGAGCTTTCCAGAACCTACAGTGTATGATTCACTGTTGTACATGCCCAGCATTGTACTTTATTCAAGATGAACACTAAAAACCCTGACCAAAAATGAAATTCCAAAGATGTCTCTATTCTACTAGTTTCCTAATGTTTATGACATGCACTCCCTTTAATACTAAATACAACAAAAGTATGTTATCTTTAGGACAGGAAGCAATACAGAGAGTAAGCCTACACACAAAGAAGCCAATTAATTTATTTAAGTTCCTTCCTAGAAAAAGGTTGGATATAATAAAATAATTAAGTACCAGAAAAAACAAGTACTTTGGAACATCTGCTAGGTGATGCCTGTAATTTTCGCCACTATTAACCCAGGATCAGGGAGCACTGGGCCAATTCTAAACTGTCCACACTGCATCACAGCATTATGAAATAGGAGCAATAGTACGGACAGTATTAACATGGTATCTGTAGAACACTCTTAGCAAAACATGACAGAATTCAATAAAACATACATCAAAGTAATCCCTGAAGTTGTTTATAATTCTTCTCTAGCAACCATGGTTACAGTAGCACTCTGAACATTACAGGATTAATTATGGAATACGCCCCTCAAAACTTAACATACCTTGTCCACCTGTTATGGGGAAGAAAGAAGAAAGGACAGACATGAAGTATTTTGATCTGATCTCTGCAGTTCTGGATTATTATATATTAATGGGAACGATTTTCCTAAAACGAGAATTAGATTAGAAGCATTAAGGTTGCAATCCCACATACACTTATTTGGAAGTGAGGGCTGTTGAATTGAGCTACATTGTTTATAACCAGCTAGGCTACAAGCTTGTAAAGACAGCTATTTACACCTTGGATGAAGGCCATGTTTAGGAGACATGTGACAGACCAAACACCTTTTGACACAGTTAACACAAGGCTAAGACCATGGCAGTTTCTGATAGCTCTCTCCCACTTGCCACCCAACTTTGATGGGACTGGTGATATATGTGATAAGTAAACATGATGGAAATAAGCTGCAAAAGTTACAAACTTGCACACATTTTTTAAAAGAAGTTTCACTGAACACAACCTACTTCTGAGTAAAAAAAGAGGGCAGTGTGACTTGCAAAAGGATATCCCTTCCCATCTTGACAGAACATATATTTGTACTTCACTTTTTTAAAAGCAAGAACTGCTCTTTTACTTGAACAAGCTTAAGATAAAGTATGTCTGCAGCATTGTACTCAATTACTCACTAAGAAGTAAATCTACTTCTGCCTTTGAGCATCTCAGCCAATGAGTATAAATGAGATTAGATAAAGGTCATCCAGACATAAAGACAGCTGTGCTGGATCCGACCCGATGGGAATGCCCACCAGCAGGGCTTGAGGCCAGCAATTCCCTCCCATTATGTTCCCCAGCAAACTGGTACTGAGAGACAGGCCACCTCCACATTCTGGAAGCGTGCTAAAAGCCATGGATAGCCCTATGCTCCATGAAACCATCAGGTGACTCAACCCTCTCGTTTCATCGGCATCCTCCTGTGGCAGCAAATTCCACAAGGCATGCGTTCATAAAAATGTTTAACCCACTCAAGTACTAAGTAACTTTAAACGTGTTTCAGCACTTCTGTTTAGGCGACATATCAGGAGCTTTCCTTTCTCTCCCGCAGACACACCCCTTTGACCCCTTGCTGACGTTTGTGCCTCTAGGCCTGTGGCCCTGGGACTGTTTGTTTAAGGGGCTCTTTCCCAATTAAAACTCGGGGGCATCCCCCCCCCCACACACACACACACACTCACACACACACAGAGCGAGCGAGCGAGCGAGCGCGCTGTTCTCACCCTCAAGAAAGGAGCGGGGCTCCTGCAAGCTGTCAAAGTCCCAGCCTGGACTCTGCCCTACCCACCGCCGCCAAAGGCTGCTCGGTCTGTAAACACCTCCCGCGCACCCGCCACGCCACATGCGGCTGAGAGACCGCGAGCAGCGGGCACGGACTGGCGCGGGGCGCCTCCGAGGCTCGAGGAGGGTGAAGGGGGTCGCCGAAGAACCCGGCCACTCACCTAGCTGCCTGCCCGGCCGCCCGCCGTGGGCCCCAGGTCCTTTCCTCCCGCCAGAGGCGGGCTCCACAAACGGCCTCCCTGCCTCTCCGTCAGGCCTAGACTCCACCCCGCGCCCGTAATCTCCCGCCGGCCACCTACCCCCATTCAGAGCCCGGCTCCTTCCCGCCGCCAACGCCGCCGCCCCTTCTCCACAGCGGGTCCCCTCGGGACGCGGCGAGGCCTCCCCGGCGACCGCGCCTCACGGCAGCTCCTGAACCGCGGCGGCCGTCTCTAGCGGAGCTGCCAGGAAGCCTCTTCTGTGGCAGCCGGGCCTGAAGTGCGGCAGCCCCGGGCGGGCGAGCAATCCGGCGGGCGTGCACAGCGCACAGGCCCGGAAGCGCCGGCTGGGCTCTGGCAGTGCGCAAGCGCCTCACCCACTTGCGTAGGGAAGCGAGGCCGGCGGGAAGCGCTGCCTCGCCCGGCGCGGCTCTTCCCCGGCTCTTCCCCGCCCCGCCGCCGAGGAGGGTCGGGAGAGTTAGTTTCTCTCGGGTTATTGCACAGCCGGGGCAGGCGGACATTTGTGTAGGTGCGCACAAACACACACAGCAGCTCTCCCGGAGTCGGGGGAAAAACGGTTACGGCGGCCGCCTTCGATCGCCCGCTTTCCACACGTCTAGTGGACGCTCCGTATTAATAACTTCAGTCCAGTTAACAGCTGCTGCTAGTCGGGAATCCCAGCTTTATTTCTGAATAAACATGTTTAGGATCAGTCTGCACGACTTAGGCTGTAAGATCCGCAGGGCAGAGACTGTCCTTTCTGTTTGTGTCTATTTTCTCTATGGCTGCAACCCTGCATACTTGGAAACAAGCCCCACTATGAATAATAACTTATATTCGAGCATGAATGTGTAGAATTGAACTGTAAAGTACCAAACACACTGATGGTGCTACATAACAGGCTGTTGTTCAATTAATGAAGTTTTAGATTTGCATATGAATATAAACTATTTCAGAAGGAATCGATGTATTTTCTTCATTTGGTTCTTTGTTTTAACACAGCATGTGTCATACCACTATAGGCAACATCTCTGGTATGAGAGGAAGAAATGACTGCTCTTAAATGTCCACTGCCTACACATCAACTTGCAAGCTGTCCTGAGACAATTATAAAGGACGGCATATACATGTTTTAAATAAATATTTTTAAAGACAACAGAAAATCATTGGTGCCTGATCAATAGGAGATACATTTTGAAATCGAACAGGTTTGTATCAATGGGTTAAATTAACCAATTGGCCAATTTGTTACATTTTATCAGCAAATTAATATACTCTGGATTACTGAAAAATCAAATGAGCAAGAACAGGTAAAGAGAAATCAGGACCAATCATAAATTGTACACTACCATTGATATGCCTGTCTTTTTATACACAGGCTCACAAATTTATTTATTAAACGATTCCTTAGCTTTTAGAAAGCAGAACCTAAGAGTCCTCATAAGACAGTGCACAGATTTGAAATAATAATCACTACATTAAATCCTTTACCATTGAACATGCATGCCTGTCTTAAAATGAACAGTACAGATCAATCATAAAGAGAACAATTCAAAAATAAAATTAAAATGAAGTATTTAAGTGTGCAGTCCAGTGAGAACACCTATGCCCTTCTGAACCCAAAAGATAATGGGCATCCTATGCATGGTGGGTTGCTTCTGCATAAGTGTTTCTGCATACTTTGGTTGCGTAAGTACAGACCTTGTAGAAAAGGGCATGAAGCACCATCTGCTTATTTTGAATGCTGGCAGATCCTGCCTCCTCTCCTGCCCTCCCTTGCCCCAAAAGACCGTCTCCAATATTGCTCTTGTGATTTCTGAGTGCCTCTTTCCACGCTGGTTGTGATACTGGACAAGAGTACTTCTGTGGTCAGAGCTGGGACTCCAAAAATTCCCATGGCCATCTAGACTATCTAGCAAACATAGGAGTATGCTGCAAAGGTTTTTATTAATGATGGCACCACATAACATTTAGGGATAATTAATTCCATTATATGTGATGCCACCACTGGCAAGTCACTGCTTCGCTTACCTGTCTGTCAACTATGTTTTAATGGCAGATCAGACAGGAGACCTGGTGCTAAAAAGATAAATTTGTGCAGGGGAGGCCTTGCTGGAAAGATCATGTCATAATTTGGGGGCTATCACAGACACAGTTTCCTTCTTCCTTGTGTAAGGTCTGGGGTGTGACAGTTGGCAGCTGTGCTCAGAAAACCAGGATCAGAGCAAAGGTGCAAGATGGGGGGCCTTCAGCAGGTTCAGAGGCAAGAGGCACATTTCATTAGCAGGGCAGAGTCAAAAGCCTGCAAAATGATAGACTCAAGCAAACACAGTCCAAGATTTCACAATCCAAAAGCACAGGCTAAGACCACAGTTCGAAGGCCAAGTTCCAGAAAGATAATCACATTCTAGAGCTAGTGAAGTCAGGGAGGATGGGTACAGATACCTGGGAACCAGAGTCAGGCTGGAGACAAAGATGGAAGCAGGAAGAGGCTGGCAGCCAGAGCGTGAGGAAATCACAAGGGCAGCCCATGTTGCTGTGGCAAAGAGCAGCAGTGCAGGGAGGCCTCTTCTGCTGGTCTCCAGGCCTCCAGCTACATTGCATCAAACACAGAGCAGAAGACTATGTGTGGTACTGTGCCATGGAAAGATCTGAGCGCACGAATAAGAAGCGTGTGATAGATGCAAGATTCAGGGTAGCCTAAGGCTTTTGGCTGCCTGATATGAAAAGAAGATGGCACCCTTGCCTGTTCCATGTACAAAAGCTGACTGGGCTGGCAGATGAATCATAAAAGGTAAAGGTTTCCCCATGACATTAAAGGCCAGTCATGTCTGATTCTTGGGGGCGGTGCTCATCTCTGTTTCCTAGCCGAGAGAGCCAGCGTTTGTCTGCGGACAGTTTTCCATGGTCATGTGGCCAGCATGACTAAATACCGAGGTGCACGGAACGCTGTTGCCTTCCCATCATAGTGGTACCTTTTTATCTACTTGCACTTGTACGCTTTTGAACTGCAACTGTTCTTATTTACTAACTTCATTATATTTTTCAAGATGCTTACCCTTGCATTGCAGAGTGATCCTATGGTCACTGGGAGAGGATATGGTGGATTCCCAGTCCTGTAATTATAGATGTTGTTGCGGGAAGGAATCTGAGTTTGGGCCATTCCCTTTCCTCAACTCCATTCGCCTTGTAGCTGCCCTGGAATACACCACAGCAGCTGCTTTTCCATGGTTACAGCAGTTATCTTAGAAGAACTTGAGAAGAACAAAATGGAGGTGGATGTTTAGTGGGGAGTGGAGATAAGAAGCATGGATCCACTGAAACCTACAGCCTCTCTGTTGCCATCACTAACTTCTGCCAGTGAGTAAGACAGAAATGGATGCAGTTACTTGTCTGGCAGGAATTGTTTTATTTTAGAGGAATGGAAGGTAAGACCTCATAGCCCACCATCCATCTCAAACAATCTGTTAATATACAATGCCATTCTATGCATATCTATTCAGAAGCCCTGTTGAGTTAAGTGGTGCTTACTTCCAAATAAACATGTATTGGATTGCAGCCCAAATCTCTAGTATTTCATTATGTTTAAGGAATAGAGTGCAATGCTACATTCTAAAGACAGGCATTGTTTGGCCCTTGTTTCTGAATCACTGCTATCTTGCTTGTATAATTGCTTCTGAAGTAGGCTTTGACACTTCATATTTCACAGATGGGGCTTAACACAACCTTCCAAGCATAGGTTGACACCGTTATCCCCCATTTTATCTATACTGAATGAAAAATGCACATTTAAAGCTAGGATGTTTGTTAGGGATCATTCAATCAAACTGATAGGCATATTAAATTTATACATTTTACTCTGATACATTTTTAAGTAAACAGGGGTATCTGTATTAAGATTCACTTGTTTGGTGAGGGTGTCATTTTTTAAATAGAGGCTTGGGTTACCAAAAGGATGCCTCACAGCGGCATAAGCAAGGCACACAACTCACCTGGTCACAGTCTTACACATTATGATGAGTTGTACTGTATTTCTTTTTGAATCAGAAAAATCCTTTATAAATAGAAATGGGCATGTCCACGTTTCATGCAGATCTGAATGTTCTATCTTGTTTTTTGAGGGGTCAGGCATGATGTGTTTCCATTTTGGTTCCTTTTCTTAAAAGTCAAGTCATGTTTTATTATATTTAGCCATAGGCTATTACACAATTTACAAAAGACATAGTGAAAAATTAGGAAAATTAATTAAGAGCAGATATTTAAAAATATATTATAAAAGTAGAATAAAACTAGTTTAATTGCTATCATTTAGCGGTCCCCTTCAGTGCACCTTCAATCTAGCTGCCAAAGCAAACAGAGACACTCTTTAGAATATGTAAGCATCATTGTCTGATAACATACAAAGAGTCTTCTCAGATTCTGAGTTTGCATCAGTGGCAGATAAAATTCCAGCTGAAAAATGATCTCTTGAAGCTCTATAAAGCAGACAGGATATCACAAAATGAGGAAGATTCTCTATTACAGGAGAATCACAAATACATAGAGAATGTTCTATTGAACTGTGAAAATAATGACTCACCAAAAGGGCTGTTTTCATGGTTTGAAAACACAAAGCAGTGAAGGACCCTCTGAGCGTATAATTGGGGATATTGGCTATATAGTTAGAGCTAGAGCAGTGATGACAAACCTTTTAAAGACTGAGTGCCCAAACTGCAACCCAAAACTCATTTATCGCAAAGTGCCAAGACTGCAATAAAACCTGAACACTGAGGTTTTTGTTTAGAAAAAACAACTAAATATGATGCTGCCAATTCAAATATGCCTGGGGGACAGCTCAACATTAAAATAATCTCAGTCTCTTAATCTCTTTGCTAAATCTTGGATATTAAATTTCAGTTTTTCATAAGATTCAAAGCTAAAATCTTGTGTTAATAAAAACGAATGTATTAAAACTCACAGCCAGTTCAAGCAAATATATCCTTGAGCCGTGCGAAAGCTCAGACGAGTCGCAGCTAATGAGTCGCAGCTCGTGACCTCATTGCCTGGCACCACTACTCCTTTCCGAGCATCCGCATGGCTCCTATGTGCGTTGTTATCCGATGCTCGGCTGCTGGGGCGATGCTGGGGCGACTTGGCTCGCATGCCGACAGAGAGGGCTCTGCATGCCCGCTGCAGCACATGTGCCATAGGTTTGCCACCACTGATCTAGAGTGATCAAATTTGATTTATTTGTAGCAAGGAGCTGCTTTAAATTTTAAAATTAAAGATGGATTTAGCTATGTTTTCTTATAA